TTTTTATTTTGAAGTTTTCCTGCCACCAAGTTTACTAAAATGACTTATCTGGCTCTGTTGTTTTCTGGAATCTTCATATACATATGTCTTCCTTGCCGTAAGGTTGATTTTGCTGTGTTAGTTCCACCTTTCACATGGACGTTTTGTCAAAGTATTTCACTGTCCCCCTCTGCCCCACAGCGCCCGTCAGAAGCACAAAACCAGCTCTCAGGATGAACGCCGGACCGGGTCGCGCCTCATCGTGTTTGTTGTGGGAGGGATGAGCTACTCTGAAATGCGCTGTGCCTACGAGGTGACCCAGACGGTAAAATCCTGCGAGGTCATCATAGGTGAGAAGTAAAACAAGATTACATAGATCAAATGAACTACTTTTCTGGACAGACTATGCAAGGACCATTTCTTTAGTGCTGAATATATCCAAATGATGCCTTTGTTGTGTTGTCTCCATTCAACTAAATATATAGATGGGTTTACAGTATAAACACCAACTAACTTGGACGCTAGAGGCCACTGTCTGTTTTTATTTCCAGCTGTTTGACACCACTTAGTGGAGCTAATAAGAACTGTAAAATGTGTACACTTAAATTGGGACGTTACAGTTATTTTTACTTTGTTTTCAGGGTCTTCTCACATTTTGACCCCAACCGGTCTCCTGAATGACATCAAGGCTCTGAGCAAAGCCCCGAGCAAAGCCCCCATGGAAACCTTAACAATAGAGGAAAGGAGCAACGCCTGAGAGGTTTCCCCTAACTCCAAAACGTCCCCCTGCCTCCCTAAATCTCACATTACTCAGCACAGTGCACTCAACTCAACTTCCTGTGTGGAAAACTGAAGGGAATTTGCCTTATACTTATTCGTATTCTTATGTTTTAATACTCTTTTCAACCCTGGTGCACATTTATATTAGGCATGAGGGCAAATTATTTTTTTAATTTGTTATTTGATTAGATCAATCGTATTCAAATGGAATTTCCCTAATCCTACTATAAACATTTAAGTAATTATGTGTCATCTGCCTTTTTGTGTTCTGGTTATGCTACATGTTGAAAGACCTCTGAGGAACTTTCAGAGACAGAATTGAGATGGTAAGTAGCACAAAGCTAATGTATATACTGTATGTACGCAATGAGTCCTGACTTTTTCAGTCACACGTTATGTAATTTTGAAGAGTGTTTTTAACATAGAGTATTTACGTTTTTCTTTAATTGAACAACTGACTAATAAATGGATGAAGTGGTTCAAAAATGGTCTGAGTCCTGATCATATTTACAGTTCATTTTGTAGTGTTTGTTGATTAGGATGCAGCAATAAAAATCGTTACGGGAAATTGCATTAAACAATACTAAGAGAAATTACTTGATTAACTAATTAAACCTAATTTTAGATAATGAAACTAGATAATTTACTTCACTTAATTTTAAAAGAAAAAGCAACCATGTTGTTGTATTACATTAGGGTGGTCCTTAAAATTGAAAGTCGGAAAGTCTAAGCTCCAACCCCCAGAATTTCCTCAATCTGACAACATTTACCCCTCCCTCAACCTTGAAGTTTAGCCTCAGTGTGGCAGCCCAGGTCGATGAGGGAGGGGTAAATGTTGTCAGATTGAGGAAAAGATTCACCAGGAGAGTTTTCTTGACTAATAGAATTAATTCTGGAGGTTGGAGCTTAGACTTTCCGACTTTCAATTTTAAGGACCACCCTACGCGAGGCTAAACTTCAAGGTTGATGAGGGAGGGGTAAATGTTGTTGGAATTTGAATAACATTCACCAGGAGAGTTTTCTTGACTATCATAACGAATTCCGGTGGTTGGAGCTTAAAATAAATGAATTCGAAAATGTACATGGCACTAAGGACAACCCTAGTATTACATATGCTAAAAATATGTTTGCATAAGGTGAAGAATTGTAAGCTGGCAAACATCTCTACAGCAGTAAGTTAATATGCATAACTAATAATTACTATCCTAAAAAGAAAGTGGAATGCAGATTTGTGTTAAATGGTACAGTGGGACTTCAATCAGTCGACCAAAAAACTGCTTAATTTTTTGTTTGAATTTATGGATTTTATTTATTGCAGAATGATTACATATTATATAAATATAGCAATCATTGAGGTTGTGCCTCAGTAATATGTTGTATTCAGTAAAGCAGTTCTGTACTGTAATCTACTAACTATACATATAGGAGAAAACTGACCTGTTATATGACCTATCTTGGCTAGTTTCATATTCCTATACTAACGAACTGTGAGCATGAGGATCATCGCAACAATTGTTATCAATTTATCACGAGGAAAAGATCAATTTTTCCCAAACAACATTCAGGTAATTTCAATATTTAATACTTCACTAATGCATGTTCATAGCTTTCTTTGAACTTGAAAAATACATATCTGAGGATGGGCATATTAGAAGATTTAAAACATAATATGATCTTAAAACAGCTCTTATAATCAGGGGTGCACATAACTGGTACGCAGGTACGCATGCGCGGCACAAATCTGAATTGCGTAACGTCACTTGTGTCACTACGCGCCTTTGCGTACCTCAAAACATCAAAACAAAACACATATTTCGTCTACACGTGTTTCTTGTCAACACTCAATGGAGTAAACTACTAGGCATGTCAAAAAACCCAAAGACATTAAGCAGCTACGTTGCCGTTTCGCTCCCTGCAAAAAATCTTTCTATGACTGATTGAACTGGAGCTGGGTGAGCCGCGCAGGACATAACCGACGGACCTGTGAAGCTTTCCAGGAGGCAGAGGGTGTTTCTCAATCGCGAGTACGCTTGCTTGGTAGCACATGTCTGCCGAGCATCTTGCTTCAGAAGCGAGTCAAGAATACTTCCTGGCATTCGGAAAACGAAGTGTGGAACACGCTAGCAAGTGTGCAGGTGTGCGTCATATGAGAGGCCCCGCCTTACATCTTCCGCCACAGATTTGGGGAAATTGGTCCGTGCGCAAAGCATTGTGGGGATTTTAAGACCGCGAAGTCTACTCATGTGCAGACTCGATATTTCTCCAAACGGAGTACGCCGGGCTCGGTAGATTTCCAAGTATACTAGAGATTGGAACAGTACTTCGGCGGCACTCGATGACGTAGTATGCTTGAAATAGTGGCTCTGAAGCAGCTTTACTCGCGATTGAGAAACACCCAGAGGCTTAGATCACTGGACGACAGAGTTGGTCGCCGTGTGCACAGACAGGGTTAACGTCGGTATAAACAACAGAATTGTGCCAAAAGTCCGCCAACTGGCTGCGGTGGGAGACTCCCCTGTGCACATTCTGTGCCCCGCGCACACACTGGAGAACTGCGCAAAATCATCTGATCACAACGTTCACGCTCTGTGGTCAAGCTGCTGCAGTTTTATTTACACCAAAGTGGAGTGAAACACACAGCTGCAAACTTACTCAGGGTGTTATGGAAGAGTTTGAAATCAGACAGAGGTGGAAGAAGTACTCAGATCTTGTGTAGGAATACTCTGTTACAGTAAAAGTCCTGCATTCAAAATGTTACTCAAGTAAAATTAGAAAAGTATTATCAAAATATAGTGAAAGTAGAGACAGTAAAAGTAGTCATTGTGCAGATTGGTCCATTTCAGAATAATATATATGATATGTTTTATAATGATTGATCATGAAAGTGTTCTCAAAGCTGGTAAAGGAGCAGCTAGTTTGAATGACTTTGTATACTGCAGGGTAGCTTGTGAATTTACTCCAGGTGGAACTAAAGTCTGATTTAACACTTGATTAGATTTCACATCATTCATCCACATCTGTAAAGTAACTAAAGGTATTAAATACATGTAGTGGAGTAAAAGTAGAAGTACAAAGTAGCATAAAATAGAAATACTCAAGTCAACTACAAGTATCTCAAAATTGTACTTGAGTAAATAAGTGTGCTTTGTTACTTCCCACATTTGAAATCAGATATGACTTCAAGTCATGTGATCATTTCTTAGTATTTGATCCTTCAACTTGGCCTCAGGAAATGCAAGGACTTCACAGTTTTGGCAACAAGTTTTGGAGAAAGCAAATCGGAGGCTTAAAAAGAGACAGGGAGGTGCATCTTCATCATCTTCATCATCTAGCATGCAAGAAGTGTAAATTGAGGACAGTGAAGGAGACACTGAGGAGGACCACGCTTCGTGTGGGGTGAGTACCAAACGCTGTCTCTTGGTACTCATCTGAGTAACTCACTAAAAAAGTTATGTGCACCCCTGCTTATAATGATACATTTGACTGATGTACGGAGCAGCATGGGCAGGCTGAGACCAACTTTCGCAGTGTCAGTTACAGGAAAAAGTGTCGGGTGACATTTAAACACACTCACAGGGTGGTCCTGCTTCATTGACCCTATATAGAGGGACACTTACCCTTGACAATGATCCATGCTCTCTAACAATGACCTACTTTCATTTGTCACAACTATTTATATTTAATTATCCTATTCTGCCATCAGTCTTGACTCTTGGGTGCTTCCCTTTTTCTTCCAGGGATCTTCAAATAGTCCCAATTTGCACGTTTAAATTGGGACTACCCCAACCAAAATCTTTTAATCTGTGAGTTTGTAATGTGTAAAAAGTCAGCAAAACTGCTACTGTAATCTCAAAACCTGTTATGTTTAAGAAGGAAACAATTCTAACTTAATCTAGTAAATTGAGAAGAATTAAAATAATAAAGGTGAGATCGACAAGTAGAGGCTATTGTAAAGGAGGTTGGATAAAGTTACCCTAAAATCCTTTGATATTTCACAAATCAACCCATGAAAATATTACTGTAAATCCATGCATTTGATCTTACTTTTTAAAGCTTTTGATTATTTAACGTATTAAATTCAGAAATGAGTTAAACTCTCTAACAATTGTTTCTTATATTATTGTATTATACAGATATTTAATTGGTAAACAAAGAGTCAATCGATGTCAGTTTCCTAAAGTGTGTCTTTCTTCTGCGCATGCGTGCGAGCTCCCACCTCCACCCGCAGAGGCTTCTGCTGTTGTCGTGACAACCGGCGCTTACAGGAAAGTCAAAGCTAAAATCTGACTTCTGACAGCTAAAGTTTTCTCCTAACGTTTACTCCTAACTCGTTGTTTGGCACCAATGGATTCGGGTGAGTTATTTGCAGAGAGGATACGTGCCGGTTAAAATGCTGCCGACCTGCAAAGGTGTTGCTGCAGTCCCGGGGCGAGGATTCGTGGAGCCGGGGGAAAGCAAACAAAGTGACGGCCTCAGAGGAGCACAAAGCGGGGAAGAGAGACGACAAGGCCTCGGCGTTCAGGAGTGGCCCGACGGATCCAGATATGAGGGAGAGTTTGTGAACGGGTTCAAACACGGCAACGGGAAGTACACCTGGAGAAATGGAGAGGTAGGTTTAACGTCAAATTAATCTGTTAACAAACCAGGCAAATATGAGCCCTTTTTAGCAGTGGTGGGAGAAGTACTCATATCTTGTACTTAAGTAAAAGTCGAAGTACTAGACGTGTATGAATACTCTGTTACAAGAGAAAGTCCTGCATTCAAAATGTTACTCAAGTAAAAGCACAACAGTATAAGCTGGCATCAACATAAAGTAGGTTTACCTCACTTTGAAAGTTCTCACTGCAAATTGGCCTTTTTTTTTAGAATAATATATATAATATGTTTTGGTTATAATAATTGATGCATTAAAGTGTTATCAAAGCTGGAAAAGGTGCAGCTAGTTTGAATTACTTTGTATACTGCAGAGTAGCTTGTGAATTTACTCCAGCTGTATAAAGTCTTATTTAACCTGTTAAGCCCCAAGCCTGTTTTTCAGGCCTCAGGCTCGAAAATGACATTCCCAGAACAAATTACCATAACTTCACTTCTAAAATGGTAAATTAATTATCTTTTTTCTCAAAGCAATTATAAACCTGTGAGTTGGTCTGAAAAGTCAGAATCAATATAGAATTGTTTTTATTTTAAAGTAAATTCAGATTGAACATAGAAAAAAATGTAAATTATAGTGTCCGTCCAAAAAAAAACATTACTTATAGTGAAAACCACCCTTGAATGATGGGATAGTAGACTAAAAGCTTTAGGAATCCAAACTATAACATAATAAGTACCCTGTAACAAGATTGATGCAAAACAAGTGACATTTGACCTTTTTAGAGAGATTTAGCAAAACAAAAAACACCTTTGGGGTCATTTGGGTGGATTTGCCGGTTCTCTGGAACCCATTGGTCGATTTTGGTGATTGACATCTCTTTTGAATCGTTAGAGCCAATATAATCGAAGGGGAAGTTCCACATACACACACGTTACCATTGAGGAGTGAGAGTGACGCGCACGCAGTCGAAAGCTATGTTACGCTCTGAAAACTGAAAACTGAAACCTAGGCTCAAACTAGTAAATATGAAGATGGATTATCAGTAATCATCACTTCAATGCATTGGAGTAAAAGTAGACTATTTACCTCTAAATTGTAGTGGGGCTAGAAGTAGCAAAAAATTGAAATACTCAAGTAAAGTACAAGTACCTCAAAACTGTACTTGAGTAAATGTACTTAGTTACTTTACACCACTAGTTTCTAGTTTAAAGTGGACCTATCATGCTATATTTTAATAATATAGTGTAGGACCATACCTATATAAGGCATATTTATACTTTTTTTTTTTTCAAAATACCAAACAGATTATGCATTTTAGCCATGCCTCATTTCGCTCAATTTGCACTTTTTTAGCCCTGTTTTTGCAAGGGCTGATTCTGTGAGAACAGCACCACCTACAGGCCTGGCATATGTACTACAGCAGGGGTACTCAAACTTTTTTATTAAAGGTCCAGTTGTGAACTTTATACAAGGTCACTGGTCCGGATCAATGCCAGTAAAGTCCCCCCCCCCCCCCGAGCGGAGAAACGAAACTGAAATTAAGAAGCAGTTTCTTGGCGCTCTATGCATGGGTGTTTCATGTTGTCGTTGCTGTGGACCTTCTTAATCTACCTTCTTTGGGGGACCCCTTCTGGTCCAAGCACTTGCCTGCCTTGCCTGCCTTGCCTGTCGGTAAACGGCGCCCCTGTATACACACACACACATTCAATACATACATACAGTATGGTGGCTTGAACTAGTGGGAGAAATGGCACTGTTTGTCTGTAGCCAATGCTTTGAACCTCTGCAAAAAAGGCATTGGAAGCATTAGAAAGTCAAGGTAAACTTGCGGTTAACTTGCGGTCTGCTATGCATGTCACGCTCGCACACACAAGTAAATATATATGCACGTTCATTCTCACAACGTGTCAGACACAAGACGCGCGTACATGATGATGTACATTAATTTATCAGAATCAGATTTTTTTTTTTTTTTTTTTTTTTTTTATAAATAATTTTTTTTTTTTAATAATGGGACACAGGGTTCGGTCCGGATTGATTTGCAGTTCGGTCCGGATCCGGACCTTGGTCCGGAGTTTGAGAAGCCCTGTACTACAGCGTCTCCAGCGTTTTCGAACGGCAATGGCCGTGGCTGTCTCCTCCTGATTGGTGGAGTTGGCCCAATAGCCGTAGCGCCACCGTCCTGACGTCAGGACAGTGTTCAAATCTGGATCAGTTTTTATCAGATCCGTTGCAGCCCCTTTTTTTAGAGATTTGGGTATGGAGGAAAATAGAGAGGGTTGTGTTTTCTGACACTTGGTGAGTTCCCTGGAACACCGGGGACACATATTCATGTATAAAAGACGTACAAAAGTGCATTTTGCATGATAGGTCCCCTTTAAGTTAACTTGAGCTAAGCTCAGTTCATTTGAGGAATTAGCCATTGTTTCACATTTGTGAAGGCAACATTTTTATTGTAGGTCAGAAATCTTATGTGGGCTAAAACAAAATGAAGTTTTTACTGTCATTTTTTCCTCAAGTTAAATAGATGTTAACCCGGTCTGCTCCTTTGTGTAGTTCTATGAGGGCTCTTTCTACAAAGACTACAGGCATGGAGATGGAGTGTACTGCTGGCCCACAGGCCACAGGTTCACTGGCAAGTTCTACCTTAACAGAAAGGAAGGATACGGACAGCAACAGTTCCCTGACGGAGCCAGCTTTCAGGTAAAATGTATGAAAGGATGGATAACAGGCATTTTGTCTTTTAATAACAGTATAAGCAATGAGCCTCTCCCCTCCTCTCAGGGTTTGTACCACGCTGACCAGAGGTTCGGTCCAGGTGTGGTTACCTATCCAGATGGGCGTAAAGATGTGGGTCTGTGGCTTGGGGAACGCCTGCTAAGGCTCTGTACCTCAGTGAAAGAGGGCTTCAGCCTGGAGAAGTTTCCGGAATATGCTGCCTACATGGACTCACCTGCCATCACAGATTATATGACTCAGGTAACTGCTGACCACTGTCTCACTCACAGGTGAATAAACTTTAGGTATGCCAGGCTAAAACATTTTTGTTTAATTATCATGTCTTACTGTTTTTAAAATCCAACCAAGAAAATATAAAACATATTTACCTACCAGGTTGCATAACACTTCTCTGTAACCAACTGAATCATTGATATTGTCACTTGTTTGAAATGGTGGTGTTGACAAAAATAAAATATAGTAAATTATGTCACTAAATTTAAATACATTTGCAAAATTGGTCTCCCCTTTCTTACCAGCGTCCACCTAGTCCACAGAAAGAAGCCACAATGGACTCTAAGGTGAGGTACTGCAATAAAAAAAGAACATTATTAGCTTTGTGATCTCTCTCTTAACATATCAAATAATTCCCCATTCTCCTCAGGTGGATAGAGAAAGGGATCTGCAGTCAGACGAGAATTTTATCCTCCCCCCCGGCATGGAGAGTTACTCAACAGATGGTGATCACTTGCCGCTGCCTCCTGGCCGAAGAAGAGAGCTGGATCAGCACTTCTACGGCGAGCTGTGGGAACCAGACTCTTATCCGCACCACGGCTATGAGCGAGACCCTCTCTCCAGCCTGCCATTACAGGCCCGCATGCAGGCTCACATACACAAACACAGGTCAGACATCAATCAAAGGTCTGTCTGATAATTGGAATCAAAGCACATAATCCTGGCATCAGTATTGAGTTAAAGAAAAACACATACTGTATATAATCATGCATATGTATGCATGGCCGCGTATTAGGGCCATTGAAGGTTAAAATGATAAATATGCAGCAGGGACAGAGGGGTATTATATATATAAAAAAATAAACAATAGGTTGATCAAATCCTGCAATGTAAAGCCATGTGGTTCCTAGACAAAAAATAAAACGTTTCTGAATAGTTTTTCTGTAAACATGTGATAATACCATATCATTTTTAAGTCTTCTCTCTAAAATGTTGTTGTTTTTTCTCATAAATATACCATTTATCTCTCAAAGAATATTTGAAAATGTCAGTTTTGAACTGTAAGAATACTAAAACAATATGTTAATTCTTATGTATTTTTGTGCGGGTCTCTCAGGCTACAGGCTGAAAATGTGGGCTGGGATGTGGCAGCTGTTCTCTCTCTGAACAGAGACAGTTCTGGTCCTAAAGGGCTTTTGGAAGTCAGTTCAGAGCTGTTGATCCAGCACTCCTCCCGAGGGGACTTGCAGGCCGTGTCACAGGTCCTCCAGACCGGTTTGGTCCACCCTGATGTGGCAGATTCACAGGGACACACTGCACTGATCGCTGCCACAGTAAGACATTACTGACATTTTATCTGACAAACTTTTTTATTTATTTTTCACTAATTTGCTCTTTAAATTGTATACTTTACCTTTAAAGGTCACCTATTATGCAAAATGCACTTTTGATGTCTTTTATACATAAATATGTGTCCCCGGTGTGTCAGGGAACTCACAAAGTGTCAGAAAATAAAACCCTCTCTCTTTTCCTCCTAACCCACATCTCTAAAAACGGGGGTTCAACAGAGCTGATCCAGATTTGCTGCGGTCATGACGACATTACTAAAATGTGGGCTGGCTTTACATCCACGGCCCTATCAGAAACGTTGCTGTATCGGAAACAATGCGCGACGTGTTTTGGAAGTAATATGGTCTTTGTTTACATTAGCAAGCATTGCTAACACTCAGAGCTAACGCTGTACTGCGGAGTATATGTGTAAAAAAAGCAGGATATAAAAAGGTACTCACCTCAAAAGCATTTGAGCTCCATACTGTTTCAGAAATAATTCTTGATGCGGTTTGGAACATCTGACACCTATAATATATGCCTAAAAATAATAGGAGACCTTTAAAACCCATGGTAGCAAATCTGTCCATCAATTACAAATACAGATGTTAAGGTTTATTAATGTCTCTCTGACTGTTTCATTGTGTTACTCGTCAGGTAAACTGCCATAATGATGTCATCCAGCTGTTGTTGGATATGGGTGCTGACATTGACAAGATAAACTGTGAAGGAATGTCTGCCCTGGCTGTGTGTCATGTCCTCTACTACCCCTTCCAGTCTCTTCACAACACTTTGGTTGAACCACCCGCCAAAACCCAAGTAATATTTAACATAATGTCGTTTTGTTTTACCTCTTAACTTCTGGAACCGCGTTTTTGTACAGACAAGTAAAAAACATCATGCGCTGTAATTCTTCATCAGGTTTCGAGGTCTGCTTCTGCATGTGGGAGCAGTCCCCAGATCAGCCAAGTGGACTTCCTTACTGACACACCAAGGTTTAACAACAAACAAACCTATAACTATTTCCTTTTACTCTTTCCAGAGGCCAACAAGAAAGCACTGCAATAATCTAATTAATTTGAAGAAAAATAATGGAAGTTTTTCTGCACCTTTATAGTATTTGATTGGCCGTTGTGTCTCAAATACAAAATAATGTGTTCCTTTATGTTTTGATCTCTTTCAGGACAGAAGAACTAACAGAGCACATTTTACACCACAGCAGTAACGTGTCTTATAGCAGTGAGCTTATCACTGAGCGCTGGCCTGGCCTGGATGAACCTGAGACAGACACTGAACACCTAAAGGAGGAGAGGAAAGAAACAGAGAGAGAGGAAAGAGAGGATACAGAAAGAGAGGGAAGGGAGAGAGAAAGAGAAGAAATGAGCCGCAGGGAGGATGAGAATGAGAGCAAAGGGGAGGAAAGAGAGATAGAGAGCAGATGTGGTCAAACTTGGGAAAATGAAGAAAGCGAGTTAGAGGGTAAGGAAAGAGAATTTAAGAAGAGAGAGGAAGATGTTGGACTTGTTGAGAGGAGAGAAACAGAGGCAGGAGATGAGAATATTGAGGAAGACCTGGAAGAGGAAGTAAGGAGTATTCATGAAGAGGATATAAAGGAGGAAGGGGAGAGAGGAAGTGAGGATGTGGCTGGTGTGGAGCGCTCCATTCAGGTGATGGATGGTGGCATCGCACTGGGCAGCGTGCAGTGGACAGAACATCGAGCAGGAAGAGTTCAGGTATGAAGCACACAAATCCCATAGTGTAATTGGTTTGATAATATGTTTAATTTATGTTTGCTTAATTCTCTGGCTGCAGCAGGTCAAAGACAGAGAAGTGACCCCGACCCCGACCTTTGACTCGGCCTGCTCTGTCAGCAGCTTTAGAATCCAGGTGACGGAGGAAGCGATGCAGCACTCAGCAGAGGCGCTGAGTCGCACAGGGCTCCCTCAGAGCTCTGACACTCAGGAGACTGTACGCAAAATGGCCGCCATGAAAACTGAGTCAGTTCTGTTTCCACTCCGTCTTCTTCTTCCCATGCTGTTTGTTCTGTTTAACACTGTTTATGTCTATCGAAACAGACACCGTGTTCGTCTGAACATCCTGAAGCTGTTATTGGATCGTGGAGCTGACCCTAACACATCCAGGGTCCCCATGCCTGTCCTCTTTTTAGCCATTATGGCGTCTGACACTGAGGCCGTCAGGAGACTGCTGCTGTGTGGAGCTCGCACGGACATTCCCCTACCACCAAAGGTAGGAACATATCATATTAGCGATACATGATATATATTGGGCTGATAAATTATCGGCAAATACTAGGAAATTAATATTATCAGTCATATTCCGACAATGAAATTATGGCCAAGAAATTGCTTTTATTGAGTTAGCTCAGCATCTACACTTTCTGATAGCAGGAAGCACCTAAATAGTTGGTATGGGATCTGCAAATAAAAACAGAGAAGAACAATTACTAGAGAGCCAAGAATGTTGTTTGCACCAGTGTGGGCATTTCAGAATATAAGAGTCAGTATTGGCAAAACTGACGAAAAAGGGTGGTATAAACTACAAGTTATGAACTTAATAATAAAATACAAACTTATCTTATCAGTATTGGCGTTGAGAAGCATGTTGTTTTTCAGTTATTAACATCTGCTGAAAACTCAATGTCGATAACCCCTGTTATTTTCTATTTACAAACATATCCAAGTCAAATAATACCAATTGTTGCGCCACAGAGAAAACAAATGAGTGATATCTCAAATCTCAAACAAATTATAAAACATAAAATGAGAGCGTTTTTGTTGCACTCTTCCCTCCTTTAACCCTTTATACATGGTTTCAATTAAGCATTATATTCTGGTCATCCTTCTGTAGAGGAAGGGTCTGAATCCCCTGCATGTAGCTGCTGCCCTGCCGGGTCCAGCAGGTCCCAGAATCACAGAGCTGCTGCTCCATGCCATCACTGACCCAGACGCACAGGCATGCGACCAGAGCGAGATCTATGAACCAGATAAGGTGTGTTTTTGTCTTTTCAGCCTATTCAAGTCCTTAAATTGTTAAATGTTTATGGTGATAGTTAAACTGGTGAGAAAAGAGTTTCAGACTGAGGTTGTTTTTACAGATTTTCCAGAAAGCGAAGGAGGCACTGAGCAGCAGTGAGGGTCCACATCTCAAAGAAGGAGGCCGTACGGCCCTGCACGTGGCCTGCCAGAGAGACGCTGACTATCGGGTCAGTACATACACCTGCTCACACCTATTTCAACAGAACGACTTTCAATGTTACTGGAAAAATTCAGACAGTTCAAGACAGTTTAATATGTTTTGGCTGTTTCTAAAAAGTTAAGAAGTTCAGGATATAACAACTTTCACATGGTTTGCTCTGTAATGAAAATCGTGCTATTAAAGGCGTTTAAAATGTAATCTTTAAGAAAAGTAATCCTGTAATTAAGTATTGTTATCCTTGATAAACAGATGTTTTGAGGTATAGGGTGAAGTGTTTTATAGACTGCAAGATCGCCGACCCGGGGTTATTAGGTCACCTATTTGTGGAAATCCCCTTCAGTGTATCCATCTTGGGTTTTAGTGATTTATAGCGGGTTCCTGGTCGAGGGGGGGCTATTTACATTTATTAAGTTTTAAAGTTGCTTTCTTTTAACTCTTAAAAAAAGTTGTAGAACACTATTCATGCAAGCATTAAAAGATCTTAGGAAAGTTAATAAACTAATATTGTGTTTTGTGCATTTGTTGCCTTATTCAACCATCTCTAGACTGAAACTGATTCTAAGTTGCTACGACAGCTCACAATGATATCAGGTTACATTTAAAGGACCTTTGTATTTTTTTTTGTTGCAGAATGCCAGTAAAGTGGTAGCCCTCCTGCTGTCCCACAGAGCCAGCACTGACCTCCTCTGGAGCGGACACTCCCCTCTCTCCCTGGCTATAGCAAGTGGCAATGACTTGGTAGATTACATTACATTACATGTCATTTGTTAGACGCTTTTATCCAAAGCGACTTACATACATTCAGTACTGTGGACAATCCCCACAGGAGCAATTTGGGGTGAAGTGTCTAGATCCCACACACCTATTCTTAGGGGTTAAATTGTGGGGGGGGGTCGAGGATCTCATTATTTGACCTTAAAGGGGACCTATCATGCAAAATGCACTTTTTGATGTCTTTTATACATAAATATGTGTCCCCGGTGTGTCAGGGAACTCACGCAGCATCAGAAAATAAAACCCTCTCTCTTTTCCTCCGTACCCAAATCTCTAAAAACGGGGGTACAACGGAGCTGATCCAGATTTGCGTCCGATATCACGTCATATCGGCAATGCAGACCAACAGCACTATCAGAAACGTTGCTATCAGAAACAATGCCCGACTGTTTTGGACGTAATATGGTCGGTGTTTACATTAGCATCGCTAACACTCAGAGCTAACCTGTACTGGAGAGCATGTGTGTGAAGAAGCTGGATATAAAAAGGAACTCACCTAACCGGCAAGAGAGAAAGCCTTTGAGCTCCATACTGTTTCAGAAATAATCCTTGATAATCCATGATATGGCGTTTCATCACGGCAGTATCTGCCGGTAGAATCTCCCGGTAGAATCTCCCGCATAAGCTCCGCCCCTCTTTTTAATTTTTTTTTTTTTTTTTTTTTAAAGCTTTATACCTGAAATCAGCACTTTAGAAACAGGAAGTGAAATAGAGGGATATGAGGCATGGCTAGAATGGGTGATCTGTTTGGTATTTTGAGCAAAACACTTTATAGACATGTTTTTTATATATTTGTATATATCTCAGACCTATGCTATTGCCTAAAAATAGCATGATAGGTGACCTTTAAAGGCTATACTGTATATAAGGCCCTAAAGCAACTGCTCCATTATCTGTATCAAATGCACACATTGGTGCCACCAAATGACACAATAAAAATAGAAAGTACTACAAATAAACTGGAATTAATTTACATCTTAAATTATTAATATATACACCAAAAAAGGTTTTCAAATATCCAACCTTCAAATTGCTATTTTAAATCCACATCGCTCTGCACACTTGCTAAAGAAAATGTTTGTGGAAATCTCAGTTCATTTGTATGGCCAAAGGTATGGGAGTAAATATCACTGTAAACTATTTAATCATCACCAATTTCTGTGTTATTATGACCGATCATAACTCCGCTTTATGCTGACATACATTCAGCATGGTTTAGGAAACAGGCTCCGTGTTACAGGACAGGTCAGGTGGTTTGGCAGTGAACGTGTGTCTCTGCATCGCCCGGACTCCGCTGCTCCTCCGTGCAGAGTCTGCAGCGGTGCCCAGGCGATGCAGAGACACACGTTCACTAAGCCGAAAAAACGACATCCGGTCACAGAGATCTGCTATTTTAAAGTAAAGTCAACACATATCGACCCTAAATATAGTCTATATTAAGAACGAGAAAAGTTTTAACATATCATTTTTTGTAAACATATGACAAATGTGCGAGGGGGATGACGTCAGAGCATCGTCCTATGCGCCGGGGCTGAGCCCCGGACAGCCCCGGCCAAATGTAACCCCTGCCTATACTGTATTTCACATTCCTTCAAAACCTCACTTTGTCTTGAGCCTGTTCCTTTTCCCTGCCCAGGCAGTGGAGGAGCTGTTGAAGGGAGGTGCAGATCCCAACATCCCGCTGGGCCGCAGGGTGGGCAGCGCCCTCTGTGCCCTCGCCAACATCAAGTACCACTTAGGTGGCAACAGACCCAAACTGGTACACACACAAGCACAGATACACACACACATAGTTGTATATGTAGATCAACACGTCTGAGATAGGTAAGAAAAGAAGCTCCAGCAGGCTTTCAGCACCATTTATTTTAGCAGCTGTCTTTTAGAGCATGGACATTTGTCAGGCATTTATACATTTCCAAAAGAAGGTGCCTAAATACTGTATAGTGACCATGTTGACTTGTTTATGTATGCATTTGTTTGTATATGACTATGACTTTAAAACACCCAGATCCAGATTAATTTTCCAATTACAGTATTTGTGACTAAAAAAACACGGGTCACTGTTGGTTCTTGGCGCTTAAAACAAGTGACATTACTTTAACTTAAAAACCGTTATTGATAGTAGTTATATCCCTCAATATTACATTTTCAAGAAAGTTAGAAAATAAATAGGATCTTCTTCTATCTCTTATTCTAAGTTTTATTTATGGGGTAAAAGAAACCGCTGTGCTGAGTCATTTAAAAGTATATATACTGTAGGTAATTTGTGTGTGTGTCTATGTTTTGATGAAGCTGGAGATGTTAGCTCAGGCAGGTGCCGACATCTTGATGCCCGTTATGGTGGGGGATGTTGTTGGAACAGCAGTGGACTTTGCACACTACTCCTGCAACCAGGTAACACCAACTTTAAGCATTTTAGTTGAATTTAGTCAAATAACTACTCAGCCACATCATAGACTTAATGCAACATTAATGCACACAATGTATACAATATCTTGTCTTTCATTACTACACATATTGTATACCAATTCTACTTCAACCATATTCAATGTAAATACTGCTATATTTTACTATATTTTTTTATATGTTTTAATGTTATTATAGTTTTCTTTAAATAGTTTTCTATCTGTGTTTTAGTTTCACTTTTATGTATGCACAACACCAAGTCAAATTCCTCGTATGTGTTAACCTATCTGGTAATAAACCCATCTCTGATTCTGATTCTGATACCAAAGCTTGTAATAAATTACATTTATATCAATTTAAGGATTTGTTTTGCTAAGACTATCAGGGAAATGCATAACTGTAACTTCCGGGTCTGTTTGAAGCCGCAGTGTTACTTGTAATGGATCTTATTACATAGATAGGTGTTTTAATATTTTTGCCCCACTAATGTATTTCAATGGAGTTAGACACAGAAAGATTAAAATCAAGTTATTTGTAAGTCATTTTAACCCAATGTTGTTACCATTTAGGACTTGCGTATTGACAACACTCCCTTCCACGCTCTGAGCATGCGGCAGAGAGAAACATTCAAAGCACGGCGCCAGCTGCTGAGCATGATGGGAGATCTGCTGAGACAGACTGCTGCCCAGAGAGAGATAGAACAACACCATACAACGAATAGTCAGTACAATGTTTTTTGAAACTATTTTGTGTTTTGTTTTTTTATTAAATCATAATGTATGTGTACTGTATTTGTTACAGTTACCAGTAGCACAGAGAGGTTTGTTCACACAGGGGCAGGTCCATCAAACGGGCCCCTCCCCAGCTGTGAAAGTATACCACCCACAACAGTAACACACAGGTACCTGTTTACATACATTCATTTCCATTCTGTACTATTTATTTTATTCCAATGTCATTTGAACATGTACTTTGTCCATCCTTGAATACAATTGTACTTAAAGGTCCCCTACTTGAGCAGGTCTCCCTTGAAAAAGAGATCAATGATCTCAATGGGATACAACCTGGATAAATAAAGGTTTGAAATGAAATGAAATGAAAATTATACTGTTTTTCATCAATATAATATAGGTCTCAGTTATATACAAAACATGTCTCTGAAGTGTTTGGCTCCAAATACCAAACAGATCATGCATTGTAGCATCCCATAATCCCCTCTGTTTCAGCCCTGTTTCTAAAGTGCTGATTCTCTGTCAGAATTACTGAATTACTTTAGATGAAAATAAGGAGCCACTCCCCACGCCCCTCTGCGAGATATTTGGTTAAAAAAAATATATATTGTGCTCTAGGAGGAGATTCAGGTGATAAGGTTACCTTGGTTGATTTTTGACTAATGGTTACACAACCCAAAAAAACATTATGACATCACAAAGTGGCCAAAATCAGCTCATTTTCACACAGGTTTTTATATAAATGGATCAGGACAAAAAGAGAGCAAATATTTTTTCCTGAAACTGTCAGAATCTCTTTACACTGTTATACATGTTTATGTAAAACAGACATGAAAAGTGGATTTTGCATAATAGGTGACCTTTAAGGAAACACAAATCCTTCGGGAGCCTGTTTGGAACTCTACCTGTGTGAATCTTTTCTCAGGAATCCTGCCTTTAAGTTCTGCTATCACTGCGGTCGCTCTGTGTCCGTGAAGCTGACCGTGTGTAGCCGCTGCCACAACGTCTTCTACTGCTCCAGGAACTGCAAACTGAAAGCTTGGGATGAAAGACACAAGGAAGAGTGTATCCGGGTGTCAGGTGGGAATCAGGGCTTCTCCATACAACAGTAGCATCCCTGCTAACCAAACAACACCAGCCACTTACCAAGCCAAGACTCTACATTTTAATAAAATGACAATGTGCAACCTTCGTCATAGTGTTTGAATCTATAAAATCTGTAGGATAATGTTGAATATGTTTAATTTATCTTTTGGATGAACAGAGCATGTAAATACCTTGTCTATTTGTCTCTCTCAATCCAGCATCTGCTCATGGCTTCCAGAAGAGTGTTGTGTTAAAATCCCCAAGGGGCCCCAGGCCCTTGACTGCCATGTTGAAATCCAAAACAGTCCCCCGGCCCCTGAGTCTCAAGTTGAAATCCCACAGAGTCTCCAAGCCTCTGAGCATGGCAGAGAAGGTATTGGAGAGCCAGGTCAACCTGAAGGAAAACTACAGCTGCAACTGAAGGATACTAAACGTTTAATACTTAATAACAGCTTTTCTACCTAACATTGAAATGCATTTTGTTACATCATTATTTGTTTTCAGATTTTGAGCCTTATTATTATTTATTTAGCTGAATGGAATGAATATATTTTAAAATATGTTGTGCCATAATCATCTTTCTTTGGCATTTTTAGACTTGTAGTTTTGCATCTGTTATTGTATTATTAAATAATGTAATGATTGGTGCACCTATCTGTGCTATCGTCACAGAAGTATCGAATTTGCATATTAAAACCAGTACCAGTAACTTTAATATAATAACTTTTTATCATGATTAAACTTTGTGACTAAAGCTATTACTGTTGATTTTTATTTCAATAATATCCTCTGATTGATTTTGAATGAATAAGATAAGAATGTTGTGATCTTCATAAGCCATTTCATTTATTTAGAAGAACAGAAGTACTAAGATTGTACTTTAATTATGACAGACAGTGGCAACTCTCTCACATTCAACAACAGCAGCTTAGTCAATATGCTAAAGTAGCAAAAACAAGCCTGACTAAATATGAATAGCACCTGTTTTATTGACAAAAAAAGTACCTTGTGGTGCATCAGGAGCTAAACTATATCAGTTATACTCTTATATTGTATGCTCTCTATCAGCTTTGTGTCATACCCAGGAATAAAGACAAGAGGAAAATGCTTTCTTCCTGTTTGTTTATTCATTATGGAAACATTTAGTTTGTACACATCCCATCGGTAAAGTCTCTTAAATGACCGTCGTTCACTGATTTAATGTACATTTTCCCTTTATCCACAAAACCAATTCACCAGATCCCCAGCATTGTAAAAGACAATAATGAATAATCTCTTTATAATGATGATTATTACAATTTGTAATACCTTATAACAAAGACTACAACACCATTGATCTACCTGAAAATACAGTAAATGTTAAAGTAATTAAGGATTCCTTTACAAAGATCAAAATGTGTACAATAAAGGAAGTTCTGGTGCTTTCTTTCTTATGACACAGAATGAAACACACTCTCTTAAATGACTCGTCTATTTAAGAGAGTGGGTCTTCAGTCTCTCCAAAAAACAAGGTAACGACATCCGGTCAGCCCCCTCTACTTGGGAATTGAAAACAGGAAGTAGATCTGGCTGGGTGATAACAAAACGTTTTTTTTTCTTTCTTATTTCCTTTATTTTTTTACCCTCAGATAATAACAGGCGTGTGTTTGCTGTGTTTGAATCCATTGCAATTTCCCTTGAACACATCAAGAAATCAGTTCTGGTCTTTGGCTGAGGTTTTGTCAGTAGAACATCTACCCTTCTCACTGTCAGTAAGACGGCGGCCCATTTCTTTCTCAGAACGTCTTGAAGTTTATCTCTGACTTCTGCCACAGCCGCTGTCCCATCTTCAAAGTAACGCAGAGGACGGATGTTGATGCTGGATGAGTCTGCAGATTCAGTGGGTTGTGACAGTGAAGTGAATTTGTGAAGAAACTCAATGTGATCCTCTGTGTGTGAGAGCTGATTCAGGTCAGCGTCTTTCCTCTGCAGCTCAGCGATCTCATGCTCTAGCTTCTCTTGAAGCTCTTTAACTCGACTCACCTCAGATTCCTGCTGGGATCTGACCTGCTGCTTTACATCAGAGCTTCTCTTCTCCATGACACGGATCAGCCCAGTGAAGATCTTCTCACTCTCCTCCACTGATTTATCAGCAGAATGATTGATGGCCTCCACCTCCTGCTGAAGCAGCTTCACCTCCTTCTCTCTGTCCTGGATTCTCTGCTGGATGTTTTGTCGACTCCCCTCCAGCTCTCTCTGCCTCTCAGTCCTTTCTCCTGCAGCTGACACTGTGTCGTGGCCTTTATGTTCATCCACAGAGCAGAGATAACAGATAAACTGCCGATCGGTGCGGCAGAACATCTTCATCACCTCGTCGTGACGAGAGCAGATGTTCTCCTGAAGACTCCTGGAGGGCTCCACCAGCTTGTGTTTCGCAAATTTGGGTGAATCATAATGAGGCTGGAGGTGTTTCTCACAGTAAGACGCCAGACACACCAGACAGGACTTGAGAGCTTTCAGTTTTCTCCCAGAGCAGACATCACATGCTTCGTCTTCAGGTCCAGCAAAGCAGAGATCAGCAGGAGCAGGTGGGGGACTGGGTCCAGTCTTCTTCAGCTCCTCCACTAAAGCTGCTAACATGGTGTTTTTCACCAGGACTGGCCTTGGTGTGAAGGCCTGCCTACACTGAGGGCAGCTGAGGGGTTTCTTTCCATCCTCTTCATCCCAATAGCTTTGAATACAGTTCATGCAGTAGCTGTGTCCACAGGGAATAGCCACTGGGTCCTTTAGTAGATCCAAACAGATCGAACAAGAAAAGGTTTCATGGTCCAGCTCAAACCCTTTCTGCGCCATTTCACCTCTCAACTGACTCAGTTTCAATTCCTGAGAAACTGAACTAGATTCAGCGTTGATCTGAATAACCTGTGTGTCTGCAGCTTTTGCCCTTCACTCTGTTGGTTACACCCATCTTCAAACTGTAGATCTAAAGGGGAGGGAACAGGGAAATATATGAGCAGGAAGAACAGGGAGGGGTTATCAAGCCATGATTGATTCCAGGAAGAGGAGCAGTTCAAGAGCGATACTGTGTGTTCAACACTTGTTTACAATAGAGCTCATTTGTAATTTGAAACACTGGTCACTTTAGCTTTAAGATGACAAACTCTTCAAATCAGATGGCAAATAGATGGCTAAAACTCAAATATGTACTGCAGATGTAATGCAACATACGAATCATCAGTTATACTAATTATAACTCCTCATAATATAGACCCTCCAAGGGCTAGCCTCCCATTTATTTCCCTTTACTTAGTTTTTTAACTAGGTTATTGTGTATGGTAACAATGCATGTTTTATTACAGACATACTGTAGGCCTACATGGTTGTCACCATGTTCTGTTGTTTCAAATATTTGTAGTCTTGTTTGGGAACTTGATTTGTGCTAAAAAGGGTTAACTTATTATGTCTCTGTTTTCTAAGGCAAATCTTAATCTGTATATTATGTAGTGTAGCAAAAGGTAAAAATAAAGCAGTATAGAAAGTGCAGTAGGCTATATTCCACCACGTTATACACTAATTTACAGTATAGTATATGTATATCTCTATTTATACTGTATATCAACATGTCTTTGATTCCCGGAAAATGTATGCAACTCAAAATATGTTAATGTTTTTGTTTGGATATTAACCCCATACTTTCATACCAATATCGGGTAGGACTGTGGGTTATCTGTCGCCACTTTTTAATGGCGGGTAGCTGGATCCTCAACATGAACTTTTTAATTTCTCTAAATAACAAACATTAATCCTAAAGTTAGGGTTATTTAGACTTTTAGAGATTCTAAACAAAACAAAAAAGTGCGTATTTAGAGAGTCTGAACAAAAGTGGCGACAGATAACCCACAAGTACCTATTTTGTGCAAAGTTTGTGAACATAATTACCGTAAATTACATAATGTTGGCCTGTTTTTGCAGAGTCATCAGCATGGGGTGAGGTTGCTGCTTTGTGCTGCGCCTTGCATCATACACAGATGAGTCAACGGGAGCAGGCTGGCACAGTCTACTGTACACCGAGAAGTTCACACACTATCAAGAATTGTTTAAAAGGTCGCCGAAACAACTAGCAATCCATGCACTAAACCGGAAGGATTTGACAAGCTAAGTCAAATACTTATTTACCGAACAGGCAGCTTCAGAAACAAACAGAGCGAGGAGCAGAAGGTGAGGTTTGTTGGGACTGGAGATATGAATGCGGACATCGAGGAGCAGGAAGACGAACTGCTCGCCCTGGAGAGTATTTTTGATTCGGAGGAATTTGTCCGAAATGAGTCGAAGTTTGCCGGAGAAATCCGAGCGTGTGTTGAGCTGCCTGCAGGCTTCAACGTGCTTTTGAAAGAAGGTAAATAAACCAGCTTGAAAAATGTGATGTTGTTGATATAAATAGAAGGGTGTGTGGGTTATAAAATGAACATTTTGTAAAAATTAGATCCGTCAATTAGCTTTAAATTGGAAATACATGAGACACGGTATAATTGAAAAATACTGTATATCTTACAGTAGGCTAGAGTATATTTGACCATTTGTATTATATCATCCAAGCAATGTTACTTATAAGCAGAGGTGGAAGAAATACTCAGATATTGAGTAAAAGTAGAAGTACCAGAATGTAGGAGTACTCTGTTACAAGTTAAAGTTGTGTATTCGATATGTTACTCAAGTAAAAGTACTAAAGTATTGTCATCAAAATATACTATGTCAAAAGTAAAAGTACTTATTATGCAGATTGGTCCATTTCAGAATAATATATATCATGTGTTTTATATATACAGTCTATGGTTTTGATTATAATTATTGATGCATTAATCTGTTATCAAAGCTGGTAAAGGTGCAGCTAGTTTGAATTACTTTGTATACTGCAGGGTAGCTTGTGAATTTACTCCAGGTGTCACTAAAGTCTTATTTAAGTTTTTATATTTCACATTATTAATCTAAATCTGTAAAGTAACTAAAGGCAATGTAGATGTAGTGGATTAAAAGTACACAATTAACCTCTGAATTGTAGTGGGGGTAGAAGTACAAAGTAGCAAAGAAAATGTAAATACTCAAGTAAAGTACAAGTATCTTTAAATGTTACTTAAGTACAGTGCTTCAGTAAATGTACTTAGTAACTTGGACCACACATTTACTGAATTGTTTAAAGTGTGTAATGCACTTTGGTCATGTGATCTTATTGTTTTTTCCAAAGGAGATACGCTGAGGCAGTATGAGATATCGTTCCTTCCACCTGTGCTGCTGACATTTGAACTCCCTGAGGACTACCCATCCTGCTGCCCCCCCTCTTTCACCCTCTCCTGCAGCTGGCTGACACAAACTCAGGTAATCAGTGCAAGCCATGTGGGTCAATTAAAACTTTATTGATCACATTTACAACCTGCCAGACAGAAAGAGATGACTGCAGATTACAAAGGTTCAACAAAGATTACATCAGTCAATTTGCCCTCATCTCCCACAGCTCTCTGCAGTCTCTGATCAGCTGACTGACCTCTACCAGGCCACTGGAGGTGCTGTGGTGCTCTTCTCCTGGGTGCAGTTTCTTAAAGAAGATGCTCTCAAGTTCCTGGACATCCATACTCTGCTGGAGCTCCCCTCTGAAGAACACAGCCTGCAGGAACCATCAAATGCTGCACTCTTGGAACCAAAGAACAATCAATCCAATCCAAAGTCAGAACCCACAGTTTGTAATGTGTCAGATTTATGTAAACCAGACCTTTCTGCACCATCCTTGGAAGAGGAGAATCCAAGAGTGTTCCTTACAGATGGCCATGACCACTCTAACCAAATATCTTCAGATGCTAGTGAGGCTAAACAGATCTCAGAGTTTACGGCTGACCACCAGAATGATCTGTCCTCAGCCGCAGGCAAGTTGAAACATGGCCAGGAAGAGTTCTTAAATGAAGGGGATGTTTCAGTCTCATTACTACTTCCCTCCAGCTCCTCAGACCCACTGGATCAAAGTGAACAAGGAGCTGCTTCTTTGCCACCCCACTCCTCAGAATCCTCTCAGAATGAAGACCAAACGCTCGCTGGTCTCTCGCTTACTCCGTCACAAACTCTCCTTTCCCAGCTCTTGATCCATAATGCGGCTCAGAAACAGAAAATGTTTGCCACCACCGTGTTTGACTGTGGTGTGTGTTTTGAGGGCTGGCTTGGTTCGGACTGTGTGCAGCTGCTGGAATGTGGCCACATTTTCTGCCGGGCCTGTCTCGGCAAGTTCTGCAAGCTCCAGATAAAAGAGGGGAACGTCCGAGGGGTCACCTGTCCTGACGCTGACTGCCCTGCCACCCCCACACCTGCACAGGTACAGATCCGTCCATCTGTCCCTTCTGCCAACCTCAGCGCTTTCTTCTGTTTTGCTTCTTCTGGATGCTAAGACCTATGCTCAAACTGTGCAAAAAGAAGCATTTGGATATTTTACCTGAGTAAAGGTAGCAATACTACAATGTTCATACTCTGTTATGAGTGAAAATCAAGCATTCAATATGTTACTGAATCTAAGTAAAAGTACAGGAATATTATTTAAATTCTCCTTGATTTATATAGATATATAATTTATATAATAACTTAATTTTAGTTTATATTACGTTATACTATTATTGATCAATATGTAAGTAACCTTTAATACTGTAGATGTTTGGGCTGAAGAGTAGCTTACTAAAAGGGTTTTATTTGAAATATGTTAATAACTATTTAATTATAGCTATTCAAATAATGTAGTGGAGTAAAACAATTTTTAAAATACAGTTTATGCAGATATACCAACCAACAATCGAATTATCCGGAATAAGCTTATATCAGCTAATAATTGGTACAGGTCAACAAAAACACACTAATATTTATTTGTTTGTATTTTGATTCAGATTTACGGACTTCTCTGACACACAGTTTTTCTCCTTCTACTGTCCTTGTGCTGTAGGTGAGGAGTCTGGTAGGGGAGGAGCTGTTCGACCGCTACGATCATCTCCTTCTACAGTCAACGCTGGACTGCATGGGTGGTGTGTACCATTATAACACTTAAATGGGCAATCTCATTGAGAAAAATGTATGAACATTTATTGATTGCTATATTCTACATTACTCCCCCTATTGCACCGTTATCACACCCATATTACACAATAATACACCCCTATTACACCATTATGGCACCCACATTACACCATAATTACACTGTTATAACACCCCTAATATACTCATGTAACACCAATATATATAGTCATATGAGTCAGCCTGTCAAATGACTATCCCCCATTATACAGAAACCATTTAAGGGTAAGCATGGGATGTTCAGCTGCTATTCTCGAGCCAGTTGTTAAACGAGACACATGAATATCCAGACAGAAATAATATTTTTAGCACCTTAATATACATAAAAATAAATCTGTGGGTTCATGGATTAGTGCTTTTTCCCTCCTCCTCTTCACGTAGATGTGGTGTACTGCCCTCGGACTTCCTGTGGTTCGGCCGTCATTGTGGAGAAGTCCAGCCGTGCCGCCCAGTGCTCTGTGTGCGGCTTTGCCTTCTGCGTCAGCTGCAGGAAGACCTACCATGGAACAGAAGAGTGCCGGGCGAAGAAGAGCACGAAAACACAGGAAATACAGCTGGGCATTGCAAACCTGCCACAGTCACAAGGTACACAAGCAGACGTATGTGTAACATGTTAGCTTATCATTTGTAAAGTAACTGAAAACCTAAAGCTTTTAAATAATATAATATCTATTGAAGTAACATTTTTTTTTTTTTCCTTTAAAATGTAATGCAGTAGATGTTTTTAGTGGCATGAAAAGGAAATACTTGAAATACAAGGACAAGCAATATCAGCTGATCAAAACATTTTTACGTTTACATTAAAGGTTCCATGTCATGGCCATTTCTACTGATCATAATTCCATTGTTGAGGTCTACTAGAATATATTTACATTGTGCAATTTTCCAAACTCACATTGGTTTCTCATACAGCATCTCTGTATAGTATGTGATTCCTTCAAACTCATTATCCTAAGACGACCTAGAATGTTTTCTCTTACCATTATCGCATCACTTTATATTACTATTTAAACTATTTTATAGTGTTATATTTATTATTTTCACTTTCTTGTCATCACATGTGTATTGTTTTAGTATCATCATTTAAGTATTTAAATAAGCACCTCCAAATGTTTTTAATTTCATGACTGAAATATGCCTTATTATAAGATATCTTTTCTTATAAACATCTTAGTTTAGAACTTATTTTTTATTTGCACTTGCCCCTTATAATATATAATATCATGTTGCTTCATATGATGTTCTCTCATGTTCCTAATTATGTATGTCATACAGGGGGGTTTAAATAGCTTTTTTTATGTTTTAAATGGTATGTTGTTCTGTACAGTTTTTAGAAGAAAAGAAGAAGCACCTAAAATGCTAACTAAATATAGTTATTATTTTATTTATTTTGTATCATCTTTACAAGCTCAAATGTGTAATTAAGTACAGTAATTGAGTAGACGTACTTAGACACATTCCACCTCTGATTTGTGTGTATTGTGTTGTGTCTGGATGTGTATCTAAGGCCGTGCTCTGTTTCTGTGTGTCTGCAGAGGGGCTGATGGCTCTGTGGGACGACTATGCCAGCGGCAGTAAGCAGAGGCAGCGCCTCCTGGAGAACAGATACGGCCGCAAAATAATGAGGGAAACTGTGGAGGACTGTCTGAGTGAAGACTGGATAGTCTTTAACAGCAAGAACTGTCCTCACTGCTTCTGCAGCATACAGGTATCCAGATACTTCACCTATTACAGAAGTCCTGCAATCTGGCTTTGAATGCACGTGAACTCATGACTGCAGACGATCAATTGTTTACAGATAATCATTTTATTACAGTGTACATTTCTGACTGTGTACTGTATGTGTTAACACATATCTTATTGTGTTCTGTGTTGTAGAAGAACAGAGGATGTAATATGATGACGTGCTCAAAGTGCTTGAATAGATTCTGCTGGGCCTGCCTCGACAGACTGCAAACAGGTGCAATGCAACACTTTGTGGACAATCGCTGCGCCGCTGACTACAGAGAGTTCTGACCCAGTGCTCCTTCACTGCCAGAGGGATGCAACCCATGGTACGCTGTGTTTAAATCATTCTGCTTTTTAAGTGTACTTTAATAAATAGTTGATAATTCACATACATGATGATTTTCAAATAGGGCAAACAATTACAAAAATGTGTGCGGCCAGAAAAACGTGTGAATCTGTCAGTATTGGAAAAATTACTCAAGAATCATGGTGTTAAAATTACGTAGAAGTACCTATTGCGCAGAATAGCTCAATTCAGATCAAATATTATCTGTATAAAAAAACAATATAGGCTATATGGGCCAACAAATTAAATGATTGTTAATTCATACAAAAAAGTGAAACATTTCTCTTATAATTAATCAAATAAATTAATATAACTAATTTGCAACCATTCACACAAATCAGACCTCTGTCTTACTGTGTCTGACCAACAGAGGATGCTAAATAACCACAATGCAACAGCAACAACAACAGCAGCTTGGGCACATTTTAACTTTGCTCAACACAATATTCCTATTGTTTCATCTGTAAAATGCAGCTTTCTTAAAAACATGCTTAATCATTATGTATTTAATAATAAACCAACATTACATTGCTGCATGCATGTTTGCAGCTCTGAAATCATATATGAATATTCTAAGAAAGGAAATCGGTTAGTGGGCTTTTTAAAAAGAAAAAGAAAATCAGAGTTCATTCAAAAGCATCATTTCTTCCCCAGTTATAATTATTGAACGTAGTGGTTATGCAACATTTTTCATCTTTCTACCAAATATTTTCTTCAATAACTGATTCTGTGTTTCCTGAGCCTGTGGTGACGCTTTTGAATGTCTTGTTTTGTTGGAACAACAGTCCAAAATCCAAACATATTCTCTCTGCTATCATATCACACTAAGAAAACAAGTAGACTTTCACATTTAACCAGTAATATACGGCTTCGAATAAATACTTTGACAATGAAGTATTGGAATTGTTGCAGTTTACTTTTCTCTGAATTAACTATTAATTAAGAAAGTATTAGAGCTGGATTTTTTTTATCAATTATTGTATACATCTTACTTCTTATGTAATGAATTGTTCTACAAGGGTTTAAGCCATGCATTTACATTACTGCTATAATGTAATGAAGAGACAAAAGTTTGTTTGTTATTTTCCATACATGTGCCTGTCAATAGCTGCACACTTGTCAGCGTTTCTGAAAATTATAATGCACCTTTGCACTTTGTATGCATGCATGTGCTTGATAGGAAATACTTTATTATTCCATGGTAGTACTTGAGGTTTGATTTAGCATTATTATGACAATGTGGTTTATTGATGTACTGCCAATGTGACATGCAAACTTCTCAACCAGGATCAATAAAATGGAATGATGTAGTAAATACTGTTATAGTAACTTTTCATCACAGAATCAACACACTTATTGCATTAAACAAAAACATTAGTTGCAAGTTCTGCTTGGAAATCTTTGATCCTCTACTTGCAACGTTATATAGGTACATATTTAGCCTCTATTTTAAAAAAATGTACAGTTTATACCATTTCAATGACCTACAGAGGGCACAGAGCAGGTCATTATTGGGCATTTTACAACTACTCACTGATTGATTTCCTGTTTATTAAACATCTCCCTCCCTTCCTCCACTGTTCTGTCATAACAGTGGAACAAAGACCACGGTTGCATGTCCCCAGGCTCTCTGAGACATCATGATCGGAAATCTGCAGCTGTCTTTCATATTAAGCCAAAAGATACTGGCGCTCTCTGTGTGTGTGTGTGTGTGTGTGTGTGTGTGTGTGTGTGTGTGTGTGTGTGTGTGTGTGTGTGTGTGTGTGTGTGTGTGTGTGTGTGTGTGTGTGTGGTGTGTGTGTGTGTGTGTGTGTGTGTGTGTGTGTGTGTGTGTGTGTGTGTGTGTGTGTGTGTGTGTGTGTGTGTGTGTGTGTGTGTGTGTGTGTGTGTGTGTGTGTGTGTGAGACTCTCTTCCAGTAAACACCCAGTTTCCACACTGGGGTCATCACTTCCTCATTAACGTCTAAACAACTGTTTGCTTTACAGACCCACAGTGCTCCTTAAAACATGACAAACTGGAGGAGTGGACATGTGTTTGTCATTATTAAGCGGTTTCTTTTGTTGTTCATATGAGATATAAAATACAACAGAAAAGAAAAAGGCATTCACAAAAAGAATGATATCGAAGAACAGCGCACATCAATTATAACACTCTTAAATAGAAAGGGCCACTCTCCAGAACAAAAGATGACAAGTTAAAAAGGGATTGAAAGAATTGTATTGTGTGCATTATACAAAGCACCTTTTGCTTTATGTAAATGTGTTACATAATAGCCAATAAGTTTGAGTTGGTAGAGACTAAAAACATAGCTAAAAGGAGAGTGAATATTGGATTCGTATTCACCAGGCGAAGAGAAACACAATTATGAATGAAAAATTATGTGAAACTGTATCTGCTGGATGTGTGAATAACTGTTTGCTAACAAGTTCTGAAATATAAACTTGAAAGGTGACGATATGTGGAAGTCAAAAACGGGAGTTAATACATAATACATATTCATTATATTGATACTCTAATAGTCTGATTTGTTCACAAATGTATCAAAAACATTTAATGTTGCAGCAAAGACTGGCCATGAGGCTCAAGGCCTTGCCAGGGATTGTCAAAAATAGCAACTATATGGCCATAATCTATAGAGCAATCCAGTGTCAACACAGAACCATCGTCTGGCATTGACAGCCTTGATAATGATGATGATGACAATTACGATTGTAGGAGCCAAAATGCTTGTTTTGGCATTACTTATTACTTCTATTATTATCTTCATTTCTGTTTGCATCACGTTTAATTCTTATTGTTTATCACTTCCGGCAATGGTCACGTGGGTGTGGTTTATTGTTATTTAGGTCACCTGTTGGATGCCGGTTTGGAGGATAGGATGTAGGAAGAGGGTGAATTTGGTCTGATACTTTCTGTTGACCGTCAGGTCGGGAGTTGTACATTGTTTGTTTGCGTTTTATTAAACACTATGGACTATGAATGACTTCGGACTCTTATATGGAACGCGTCACAGCAAAGAGCACATATTAGCCTCTCAGCGGCATAACTCATAGGGAATTTGTGCTGCTACAACGATTGTATTTTTAAACACATTAAAATCTTTCTGCTTTACATTTTCACAGCCCTGGGAGAACACATAATCCCTTTATTTTGTATAGTTTTTAACAGTTATGATGACTCAACAACTTTAAATCTTCTGTTAGACAAATAGAGGATATGATAAGTGATGGTGATGATTAAGTAATGATTCAGGAACACAAATCCATTAGACCAGGGGTGTCAAACTCAAGGCCTGCCGCGACTTCATTTTATCTGGCCCGCAAGAGCTTGCAAAGAATATAATTATACAGTTACATGCCGCTTTACAGAAGCATGTTGCCCATAAACTACATGTCCCACAATGCATTACATTTTGTGACATGCACACTGAAGAGACTTGCAATTATTTGCAATTATGTAATATAATACATTATTATATATATATATATAATATATTTATAGTCTTAAAGTTACAACCGGCCCTTTGAGTGCAACCATAATGTTAATGTGGCCCGCGATGAAACCCCTGCACCTTACTGCCAACCTTCATAATATGAGTCAGTGGCTTATCAATGTATTGTTAATGTTTTATATTGTTCTTTTTTCCTTACTATTTATTCTGTATGAATGTATAACAAGAACAAAAATGTCTGTTTTTCATTTAGCTGCTTTAGTTAGTGATGATATTATGATGATTTTGATGATGATTTTATTCGATAGTTTACGAAATATTATTTTTTAAGAACAACTGGCACACATTTCAAAAACAGAACTAAAGACCAATAAACAATGTGTTTGTTCATCCAGCTATAGAGGACAGTTTGTTATTGATGTTTGAATGAAAGAGAGGCCAGTCAATGATCTACATGTTTTTACACAAGTATGATTGGCAGTCATCAATGTTTATTTCTGTTTATTTGCTACATTAGTTTCATTCGGTGCTTGACATTGAATAAAACATGTAGTGTATTCTGAACCCTCAACAATACACCTGCAGTGTTTCAGGACAAGAATCGTGCATATGACTTATAAATATCAAAGTGCAAATACCCCATGAAGTATTAATAGTAATTAATGTGCGTGAATGATTTTCAAAATGTACACTTTGCTCAGGAACAGCAGCAGCGCATTTTTGTTGGAAAATACTTGTTTCCCCTAACACTGTTTACTGTAGTGTAATATATTTAATGTGTGACTACTAGCCCAATTTAAGTATTGATTTTTATGGTTGCAAAATAAATAACCATCCAGGAAGTCCAAACAAAAACCTGAGGCCAGTACACCACATTGCAGGCAATCTGTTCATAATGTTTGTGCAATATCCTGCTGACAGGCGAACAAACAAACTACCAGGGGCACAGGAACAGCTTTCTTGGTGTCAGTAATATCCATAATAACGAGAGCAGCCTGGCTATCAGTGCAGTGGAAACTAGGCTATGGAGAGCGTCTCCTCACTGTGAGCCAATAACAGCATCCGCTAACAGAGTGGTTATTTCCCCCGGAGCGGTAAGATCTGAGCCATGGAAGAGAACACACGAGACACACATTCACCGTAATGATCATCAACTCAGCTTGGGTGTTATTATCATCTGCTCGTTTATTCATCCTTCAGAAAACACACACACATACACAGCCGCAGAAATCAGAGTATCAGTCGTCCAGGCATCCATCAAGTCTGTCAGTGGTATATTGGCAACATTGTTTAGAGGCACTGAAAGTGTGCTGAGGTTTTCACAGGAGTACAGGAACATATGGTGTCCTGCAGTGGGCGCTTTGAAGGATGTGTTAGGGCCCCTGACAGTAGAATTCTATGTATGTACAAGACCAGGAAACATTGGCTTCATGTGAGGCAAGCATAACATTTTCTATATGTTGTGATTGAGTTACAACATTATAAATTATTACAGCAGAAGTGAATAGGCACATTCAACATATACAGAGTAGTTTAATATTTTGGGAAATGTTCTTTTGACTTTCTTGGAGCGGTAGAGCAGGAGATAGAGACCACTCCCACCCTCTGAAGGCATGTATGGAGCTGGAGCCCAAAAGCTTTCCTAACTTCAGGTTGTACTTCCTGGTTATGTCAACAGTTATACAGACGTCTCTTTTATAATTGTGACCATATGGAAAATGCTTTTTAGGATGGAACACAATTATTTGTTGCCAAACCGAAATTGACCACTGGGCAAATTTGAAACGGTAGTTGTTTGAACCTGTTTCAGCCAGTATGCTATGCTAAGCTAAGCTAACCACCCCCTGGATTTAGCTCCATACTTTCACAACTTGCAGACATGGCAGTGGTGTCAATCGTCATCAAACTCAAAGCAAGAAAGTCACAAAACGTATTTCACAAGATTTGAAACTGTGCCTACAAATGCTACTTTGCAAATCTTGCTATCAAACACATTTTGTTTTATCACAAGTTGTTCTCAACAATGGTTCTAATCCTGATGCTACGATGGCTGGAGAAAATCAAAACACTGGACGAGAGTTTTGATTGAAGACACTTCACTGTTCATCCAAAGAGCCTCTTCAGCTTTAATTGTTGCTGAAGAGTGATAGTAACCGAGGACTCTTACATTCCCTCATTGTAAAAGTGGATTGTCCTGCGCTCATGGTTAGCATAGTTACCTGATACCACTATTATCCACAACAGATGGACTGAAGAAGCCTTTCAGATCAACGGAAAAGTGATGACCAAATAATTTGGATTCAACCTTCTCCAGACAACTGTTTGTCACTGTAATTACAAAGTGTTGGAAACTGCTGCCCAATACATGTCATACACATTAAGCTTATGGGCTTTATAACCCTATAGGCTCACAGTTATAGTCTAAAACAACTCAAGGTCCATCATCATCCCTTTGTTAAGTCAAAACCAGACCAGTGGTGTCTAATTTTGTTGAGCGATATATCTTTTATATAACAATTTGTACCAAACTAGGTTGTAAATTACAGATTATAGTACCTTTTTCCGATATAACCTCACAGTGGCCCATCTGCCTTGGTATGATCAGTGCAACCGTGCAACCAATGGATAAACACACACAATTACAAATATGATACACATCCATTACAGTTTCAAATTCTCATCTTGTAAACATTAGGATACAAATTGTTGAGAGGCAAATTATGACAATGGTAGCAAATATTCACTTGAACTAACAACAATATATTCATCTTTATAAATGTCTTTTAAATTCAGTGCAAAATCATCTTTCCATTGCCCTTTTGTAGATTAAGCACAACGCAGATATTTCCAGCCGGTCATTATTGAACAGCCTCCTCTCCAATAAAAACATCTCAACAGTTATTAAGTATGAATTTACTCATGCACAAAATAAACCAGATACAATGTATACTCTGCGATATGTATTACCGCTGTGTTTCACAACAGAGGACTGGAATTCAGCCTATGATTTTGATAGTTGAAGAGTAAAACTAATTATGTTCTTAATATTATATTAACCAGCTCTTACAGTCTCTAAAAAGCAAACACAGTTGGAACAAAACAAACAGAAACACTAACCTCAATATGTTAGCGTATTACCAGTCCAAACAGTCTTTCTAGAAGCATGAATGCAAATCTAATCTATTTCAGTAACAGTGAGCATATAAAAGAACCGATTGCCAAAATATTAAACCTGTTAACATATCAAGGTCAATGAAGATGACTTCATTTGCCACAGTAATTTATTGATTTGATTGGCTTTTGACTGCTTAAAACCTTTGTGCAACCAAAAAAAAACAATAAAGGTAGAATGGAATTTAACTGAAAATAGTTGAATGTTGTGTTAATTGTCATAACTCCTTTATTTTCGGGTCAATCCTGTTGTGGCTTCCTTTAGTGTTCTAACTAATATATTGGAGGACAATTGATCTTTTATCCGCTCCATGTTGGGTTCATTCACATGAGCAAAAGAAGGAATGTAATTCAGGTCGAAATGCATTTACCGCAAGAAAATCTTATTATACTGATTTACAGATGTCTTTTTCCCAATGATGGAAATTATATGTTTTGGGCCAATGGTATCATGTGATATCATTGTCAAATTTTGTCCAGAACCCGGTGTGGTTCCTGGGACCTTGTCTCCATTAGATAATTTGATGAATCAAAACTTTATTTTAAGAAATATCCAACATGTGAGTACAATAAAGATTTTAAACAGTGTTCCTCTACATACAAGATGGACAAGTTTATCTTATAATGCAAAACTTGCTTTCAGCTGTGAAAACTCTCCTAACATTTTCAATGTCTTGTTCACAGAAACAATCTGATGGGAATAATTCCAGTTTTGGTTGTCCACACTAAGGCCATTACCTGTGAATATCAAGTAGATATTTGAAGGGGTCCTGAGCCAAAAGGTTAGGGAACCACTGGTTTAGAGAGTCAAAATACATGAAACCATTTACTACTGTCTTATAGGATCTTAAGGCTCTTTAGTTTGATAGCTTTCTACACTTTCCCCATGTCTCTATGCTTTTGCTGAAAGTGTTCAGCATCTGCATTGGAGTGTGAGCCTGTCAACATAATAAAAGGTTATGCTATCCATTCTTTCATGTAAGACAAAGCATGTTATTTCTAGGAGAAGGAGAGCTATTAACAGACTGCAACTGAAGAACACCTCGACTCCCTGTGTCTCGCCCACAGCTTTCACTTCAGCTCTGCTTTCATCAGTTCATCTTTGTTCTTTTTCTTATTAAACTACACGGCACAGTGGAAACAGCCTCACATTTAGTTTTCTATGCTCTGTTAGTCACTCCAACTCTCTCACATGTTAATGTCCTCACAGTGCTTTTCTCCTGAGCGTCCTCATCTGTGTGGTCAGGTGTTTTTGTGCCCGAGAGTCAAATGAAAGATGTGAACAGCTGCCTCTCCCTGCAAATAACCAAACCAGGATATTGCTTTCCTTTCACATTATACCACTGCTGATGTGACCCGATCAGGCTTTTGACCGGGTGTGCATGTGTGCGTGGAAAGTTAGAAAAGCACATTTAAAGGGAAGCTGTTTCACCTTTGAACTACAGTAATCTATTCTTGTATACAGTAGGTGTGACACATGTTGCAATCCAGACATCTACTGGTGATACTGTAAATGATTACTTGAGCCATAAATACACTCATTATTTCTATTTAAATAATTAAATAACTAATAATCAATATATAAATAACAATTTAAAAGTCACATTGAGCGTTTCAAACAATAATACATTGACTACTTAATAGAGTTGCTCCAAATACTTAGTCACAGCGCTGTGTTCAGCTCAGCACTACTGAGCTGGAACAGATAATCGAATAAACAGAAAGAGAACATCTAATTTGATTCCGATTACACAATTGATGTTTTCAGGATGGGTTGAATACTGAAAAAAGCATCTACCTGGGTCAGTTATAAAAACAACAGAAAACATTACAAAAATTCCGATAAAATCCACGTGAGTTGTCTGCAGCCACGTCACACTGCATTAAAATCTGTTAATGTCCCCTGTGGGAATTGCGATTGGTTGGGAGAATTAAATGGAGTGTCTTACAACCCAAAACATCCATGAGCTCTTCAACATGTTCATTTGCAATCTAATTAAAAGTTAAGTCAAATGCTTTCAGCTCTCTGCATCACTCCCGATCTATTGTCACATTTCTTCCTATCACAATGCCAGTTTGGCTGAGTTGACTAGAAAGAGATAAAGCTTGAACTCTGCCTCAAAAGAAGCTTCAGAGACAGCTTCTCCTCCGGCACAGTCACAATAATGAGACTAGCAGCTTTTAACAAGACAGATGGTACTTTAGCAATGAACAAGGGCATCGCCCAAAGTGCTATAAAGGGCCTACAGTAACATCCACACACAAACAGTACTGAGAGACATTCAGTCAGTGCACACAAGATCCTGATCATAATTAAATGAGATAGATGAGTATTTACAATGTATTCTAGGCTAACATTAACCAAAGGATTAAATAATATTCATGTATATTATCCTAAATGTACGTCTTTAATGTCATTTGAGAATATTTACATAATGTGGATTTATCATAATAAAAGAGGCGACACAGATTATAGAAAAATCCAATCAGTAGCATTGATTGGTTTCCACTATATGTCAAAATGGCTAGCCAAAGTTTACTCTTTAGCCTAATTCTCACTAAAGGCACAAACAAGGCTAGCCAGGATGTAGCCTCCAGCCTGAAACACGCCAGAAAACCGCTAACAAGTCGGCTAAGGCTTATAGATTCATGTAACACTGTTTATAACAGAGGATGTTGTTTGTTGTGCTTTGTTTTTTTATGAATTAGCTTTGGATTTATAACCTGTGTCAGGTTAAAAAGATGTTGAATTTGTGGCTTATGGTGGTCACTATAAGTGGCCCTGAAGACCCTTCTGTAGGGCCTGTAAAAAATACCTGTAGGGCTCAAACTTTGTCCTCAGCGTTGATTGTTATCCCAACGAGGACACATGTCTGACCACGTGTGTTTTTTTCAATTCTTCAAGTACCAAAACAGTCTACCAAACAGTTTCTTGCTATTTTCCACATTTTGCATTCTTTGTAAATGCTTTAACCCTGTGCATGTACCAAATGTGCCTCCTCTCCTGGGATGTTGGCTTTCTGTGCACCACTAGTCCTTTTCCTGCAGCCTGATCAAGCTCAAGATTTACTTGCAATCCATTTGCATTTACCTGCCTCCTGAGTCACAATGCAACCCACTCAAAGCCTCAGAGGAGACTGAGACAGAGTGGAGTGTCTCAAACTGTATCTGACTCAGAGCCTAAATAAAGGACTTGTGCATCGAAAATCTGTATTCGTTTTTACATGTCTGTTATCTGCAAACATGTTACAAGCCTCAATATACAGACATCATTTCAAGAGTAATACCTGGATCCAATAAATCCATCAAATCTCATTGAAGCTTCATATTGTGGAGCATTATGCTAAATATGAGGATTTAAGCGTATCAAATGAATTGCAACAAGACCTTGAGGCCATGTGTGCTAATCTCTTCTCTGAATGTTCCCCTTTAACAGAGGGAAGTATTTGCCCTCCTGCACTTTGGTCTTCTCTTTTTGTCTCCCACTTATTCTCTGTCAATCTACTCTCTTTCTGTTATCTCCCCGACCACTCTCCTCTTGTGTCTCTTAGCTGTAGCCGAGGTTCTCCATCTCGTGGCGGTATCTTAGCTCAGACACTTTTGCTTTGTGCTGCTTGCTCTCAAGATGCTGCCTGAAGTCGGGCTCCTGCTCGGCTCCGCAGTTACACATGGAGCAGTAGAACTGTCCGCTGGGAGTCACGCACATGGCCAAGTCCCTGGGGATGCGCTGCCTCGGTCTCGGGTTGTAGTACGGCCCTAGAGGTAAAAACAGAGATGGACAATAAGTACAGTAATTGTACAGTATATAAATAAGTAGATTATGTACACATTAAGTGGCTTATTCCGATGTATCTTGTGTATCATGGCAGCTGGAAGATATCAGTTATCTTTGTGACCTTATTAATCCATTAATGAATTAGTTAAGAAAGAATGTCAGAACATTTTGAAACATTTAAATATGACTTGACTAGAATCTTAAGTCTTACATTTATTTTTTCTCCAGTAAGCAGTTCTAAGCCCAAAGAAAGTTGGCTTACAATCACACAACGGAGATAGTCAGCCAGTAAGTCCACCACTTTGATCCAGATGCTTTGATGTTAAATCAACAACTGTTGGATGGGATGCCATACAACGTGGAACAGACTTCCATGGTTCCCAGACAATGAATCCAAAGGACTCTGCTTTGAGTGGACATTTCTTCACAACTATTGGATGATTTAACATGAAATTCAGATTTTATGATCAAATATCTTCAAAACGAATGACATTTCCATCAGCTTTGCGTTTAGTGCAAATGATAGAGTACTGCGTTGGCAAACATGCTCAAAGTGATGCCTGCTTCACCTCAGCATGTTACTGTAATAATGTGAGCCTGCTGATGTTAGCATTTAGCACAAACCCCCGCTGGGCGTATGTACAGCCTCACTGAGCCACTCCCATGGCTGTATACTTTTAGTAATGTTGCATAATAAGAGACATTAATGAAAGACAATCAAACAACAATTAAATTCATGTTACAGTTGATTTATCCACTAACAGTTTTAAGTACAAATTAGATGTTTTCCACAGCAAATAATACGCTGGTTACCCAAAAATAAGCCACAATTGATTTTGCATGTAAAGACCAGCATCATAGACTTATTTATAACCTGATATATCACCAATGTGTGATAAAGATATAACTGGGACTACAACGTGTGTTGATTTGTGTGTGTGTTACACAGCAGAAAAACGAGAAGCAGATAGAGAAAGATAAAAAGACTGCGAGAGTGAGTGCAGCTATTTTGGGATTTGTCCATCAAGAAAAACGTATTAAACCATCAGAACGTTGTGGTTTATGTGTGTGTGTGTGTTTGTGTGTGTGTGTGTGTGTGTGTGTGTGTGTGTGTGTGTGTGTGTGTGTGTGTGTGTTTGTGTGTGTGTGTGTGTGTGTGTGTGTGTGTGTGTGTGTGTGTGTGTGTGTGAGAGCGAGAAAGAGAGAGTGGGACAGAGATGAAGGAAATTGGCTTTACTTTTATGACTTATCCTGCTTTATTTGAGTGCTACTGTTTTTGTCCCCAGAAAGATACAGAGACATAGCGAACTACGGCAAGAGAGCAAGAGTTGTGTGACGTCAGCAGAAAGTCTGACCTTTTCTACTCTGTATCTGTTTACACAAACACACACACCCACACACAGAGCGCCAGTATGTGTGCATGTGGAAGGCGAAAGCAGACACTCACACAAGCACAAAGAATACAGGAGTTGAAAGAAGCTTTCAGGCCAAAAAACTATAGTGATATAGAGTGGGGCTGCTTTGTGTCAGCTTTCCTAAAACTAAATAAGTCTGGATGCCCTTAAATGGGTAACAAATAAAGAAAATGACAAACACTTTGGGTAAAAAAGAACAATGATCCTTGCATTTATCTTCTTCTAGTAATGCTGCCTTCAAAGGCCCTTAAAAAGAACTGTTGGCACGTTTAAATAAGCCAATAAAGTTACAAATAAAAATAGTTTTTAATGACAATATGGACTTCTATTTCACTTTTTATTAGACACCTAGCAATATGTGTCTATGGAATATAAAGTGTGTTTGTGTGTGTGTGTGTGTGTGTGTGTGTGTGTGTGTGTGTGTGTGTGTGTGTGTGTGTGTGTGTGTGTGTGTGTGTGTGTGTGTGTGTGTGTGTGTGTGTGTGTGTGTGTGTGTGTTGGGGTGTGGTGTGTGAGTGCATTGTTTGACAGTCCCAATGGAAATATAAGCAGAAATGTGCATCTAGTGTTTTTGTTATTAAGACTCTTATTCATAAATGTTTAATATTTTACCCGGCATAGAAGCAGGTAGCTGTGGGCTGCGGCGGTTCTTCACCAGTCTGTACTCACTGCCATCTTTCCTGTTCCTTCTTGGGGCCGCCTCATTGCTGCTCTCCCTGAAAAAGGCCAGAGTCAAAATCATTTTTGTTATTGTTTGGAAACACTGTCTGGCGATCTGTTTCCACATGTTCAGCTTGGCTGATTTGGTATCAAAGCCAAAACCAGTTATGTGTTTAACTTTAGTTAAGTAATGTTTCTTATTCAAATACATATATATTTAATTTCAGTCTTGGCTTTCAGGAGATCTGCAAGACAAATGCTTATCTAACACAAAACGAAATAAGGACAAGGCGTCTGTATACTGCATAAGGTTTCTACATTTGAACCTACAGGTTACTGGAGTTTTGTTGGGCCTCAGCGAGTCGTAGTTTCTTGGCGTGGTTCTTGCCCTGGTAGTGGGCCTGTGCAACTGCCAGTGAACTGAAGGAGGCGTCACACAGCTTACAATAGTCATTCTCTGTGGCCAAGATGACCCGGGTCGCTCCCTTATACTGTGCCTGGGACAAAGCAGTGCAGTGTATGTGACGAGGGAGAAAGAGAAGAAATACATTTTTCGGACAGGTTGGAAGAAGAGAAGAATTTCAAGCAAAACCTCTTAATATTTTCAATGTAACAGACTGATTTCAGTTGTTAAATCATGAAAGCAATAATACTAATTTAAAGTCAAAATTGTATAATTATTAGTTAATGAAGATAATGTACTTGCATCTTATGTTGGTTAATTGGTTCAACTACATGGTAAATCCATAAACAACAAGAAAACAGTTGCTTTTCCCCGTCTCCAGCAGTAAAGCAACGTTTATTGGAGTTGTTTTTCTGGTTGCCAAAATGTCATCCATCTCATAACACTGTAACATTTAGGTAGATTGGCTCTAACCTGTCTGCCTGCGTCACTGTCGTTTGGTCCTGAGCTGAGGGATGTCTGGCCAGCCGCCTCGAGGACCTCTGGTATCCTGGTGGCTGGAGGCTGCTGACTGCTAGCATAGAAATTTCTCAACTTCTTATTGTGGTTCTTTCCCTAGACGAAACGATAAGGAGAATGCTGTGTTTATTTATGTATCTTAATATTGATTTGGTTTGTACATTGTTATTTTAACAGACCTGGTAGTGCGCCTGCGCCTGCTGAGCAGAGTTGAGGGTCACGTTGCAGAGTTTACAGTACAGTGGTTTGCAGAGTTCCCCCAGTGAGTCGTCCTGCTCCTCCATCCCCAGCAGAGAGCCCTCATCCTGGGGCAGCTCGCTGGCTGGGGCTGCCTGACCCAGGAGAGGGCCAGGGAGGAGACAGGACATCTGGGCTGGGATTAGGGCTGGTCGTGGGGGCATTGGGGGCAGGTGTGAAGGGTCTGGGCCCATTGGAGGAGGGGAGCACATGGGGCTTGGAGGGAGGGAAAATCTTCCGGCTCCGGGTCCCACTACAGGTGGAGGCACCAGGGCCTGTGCAAGGTTTAAAGGTGGAAGCCCCAACGGTTGTATAAAGTCCATGTTTGGAGGCACTATTGCGTGTGTATGATCTACAGGTGGGGGACCCAAGGTGTGTGCCATTGGTGGAGGCCCCATTGGCTGTGTTGGGGCCATTGGAGGGGGGCCTAAGCTGTGTGGGGGGGCAATAAGGGGATGTCTTAACACGTGAGGAGGCGGGGGCCCAAGAGTCTGGGTAGGTAGCATAGTAGGAGGTCCAAGTGCCTGAGCAGGGGCAAGGGGTGGCGGGCCAAGAGTCTGTGTAGGCGCCATTGGTGGGGGTCTCAGCTGGTGCAGAGAATCCATATGGTGAAAAGGCTGATGGGGGAGGCTGAAGAGACTCATAGGGGGCTTCAACATGGTCTCTGGTCCTGTGGACAACAACACATTATTTTACACAGGGGAAGATAACACAAATCAAATAAACTTCTCAAAAGGGAATTTAGTAACCTTGATGAGGAAAGTGGTGCTGTATGGACGTATAGTACTACTATTAAATACATTTAATTAACAGCAATAAGAACGTTTTTTATTATGCCATGTCAGTCGGTTGATCTAACACATGTAAACAACTATTACATTTTCTATTTATGGCCTACAGAGGATTAATCCAAAATAATCTAGTGCCACCGCCACCTCAAAATCCAGCTGAGAAACCCTAAATGAAAGATTGCCACAGACATTGAATTTTCCCAGATAATACTATTCAAATGTCTGTTAACCTACTGGCCCTTCCTCTGGCACCATGAAGTTGACATTTTGCTTTAGAGTGAAACCTCTAAGTAACTATAGGGTGGATTGCTATAACATTTGTTCCAGACATTCATATTTTCATCATAGTGAATTAAAATAAGTTTGGTTCTGCACTGACTTTTCATCTAGCAATTTTCCTTTTCATTGGTTTATTGCCAAATTCCTGCAAAGGTAAAACCATTATCATGAGGCTCATGTGTTTAGTGTTAAATCAGAAATGTTAGTGTGCTTACAGTCTAAACTGAGATGATAAGCATGGTTAACAAGCTAGACACCGGTCTCATCTTTACACCAAAATACATTCAACTCTGTAAATATATTCTTTAAATGTCCTACTGGCGAACAGCAAAAAAACACAAGTTGAAGACATTATCACTTTCATAAGAAAATATAAAGTGGATACTGCCTGTTGAACTTGGTTAAAATCCAGTGACCAATGTACAGTGACACTAATAGAAGGAGCATTTTCTTTCTTGGAGCCCGGAGCAGGAGAGATGTAAAGAGATGGGCGAATGGAAACACATTCCCGGACAGAGGAGCTTCACACTCCAGTAAGCATCAGAAAGAATAGGCTAAGCCTGCAGCGCCTGCAGTCATGCATATGGGACATTACGTACACATGCATTTGCACACACAACAAACGGAGACAGTGACATAAAAATCCCCAAGCTGCTCTGATCTGAAGAGATCTCAGCCTGAAGTGTGACTGCTCGATAAACTAAAGTAGGTCTGTCTCTGTCTGTGTGAGTGTACATCAAAGCATGGCATGCATGGTTGTGTATGGAAAACTAAGACAATGCATTATATTAAGAATGGCAATGAGCTGATTTTGTGTGTTTGTTGGGTCGCTCGAGTGTGCCATTGTGTGTGTGTGTGTCTGTGTTTCTCTTTGGCCACATATATTGTCAGTAAAAGGGCCAACAGCTGTGTCAAAACTCACAGTGCTGGAAGCTCAATGGTGGTGATTCATGGACTCAAAATAACATCCTGAGGTGTTTGTGTTTCCGAACTGCTGTTCGCTGTCAGTCTGCCTGTCCAGTCTGTCTGTCACCTGGCCTGGCTTACCTCAGGAGAAAGGTATGCTGGACAAGCACTGACCCTACTACAGTCCTGTGAACTGTGGCAGATTCAGCAGGGCGGGATGAGTGGCCTATACATTAATAAAGTCATACTATGCAGCAGCTGCATATAAATATATACATGTTTCACTACTCATTGGTATTGTAAGTATTGTCTTACAATATCCTGCTTAAAAAAGCTTTTACATTTGCTATTTTTGGAAGTGTCATCTTAGTAGACATTATCTGCTACCGCAGGGAGTTGACAGCTGATTTATCTGTAATAAACAGCAGAAGATGTGACACACCTGATGTAGATTGCAGGAGCATCACAGCAATGACAGCTCGGATGCAAAACTGGTTTAAATGTTACTTTCATGTTAAATTCTAATAATTTGAATATCTATTATAGCCATAGAAAATCTCAAAAGAATGCAATAGGCAATATAGAGTATACAGTAGTACAGGTTTTAAGACGTGTGCGCTTATCATATTCATTTATGTTCGCAGTATTCATTGAATGAGGCCCATACAGTATGTTGTTGAATTAGACACCCCCTCAATGTTCATGATTGCCATCGAGAGTCAATTAAGTTCCACATACTGCACCTCATCAACCTAATCAGCAGCAGCCTCATGAGAACCCTTCCACCCTGATTGAGCCCGCCTGCACAGCAGTCTAGAAACCTCACTGCAGAAGCAATTACACACACAAAGGGCGGCTGACCCTTTTTGCTTGATATCATCCGTTAAGCAATTCAGAGTGTGCAATGTGCCACCACAAAACAGATTACATGACTAACATACATTTACTGTATATCAGTAGTAATGTAAAGTATGCATGAGGATGCTGCTGTGAATCCTTTAACCAACATTTCCTCCCCACTTCTTTAACTCCTTGTGTTACTACCTTATATGAAATTGCTTTGCATCATGATTTCATGTAGCAATTACCATACTAGATAAAAGATAAGCCAATGCCAGTTGTGTCTCAGATCCAGATGCAGGTCCTGAAAAATTGCAGTCTACAGAGCACACATTTGAACAGCCACTGAATAGATAACCATGGTTTTGTCTGCTAATTTTGCATTTCTTTTTTGCATTTTAGTTTTTGGACAGGACACAATAAACTTTGCAAGTCAAAGTCAGTGTCATGTGTTGTTGCTCTGAAACAGCCAGCAGCAAGTGGTTAACATTTTTTTTGTATCACACAGTATTGTTCATCATTGTTGTGGAGAGACTTTGTTCTAAAAGTTTCAGAAGAAGAAACCACAGTTTTCTTTTAGACTCATTACTTATTTATTAGTTCATGATTTCTTGAATTTGACTAAAGATTGCTTGCTTGTAGAACCACGCCAGAAAACAACTACTGTCCAAGTCTGATGGCCTCCACTGAGAATCTCTAAATGGGCCAAGTTTGCATTTTCTCTAGAGTTTCTCTTGCCTTACTATCTTGTGCCACATCAATTATGGAGCAATGACAATCACATGCCTCCTGCACTTATTCAATCTGCTTCACTGGGCATTGGACAACCGCAAATGCAGCAAAGACAGTGAATGTCTTATTAAAGGTTGCAATTTACTTTATGTACCATTAGGGTAATGTCTATAGCCTTTACTTTTAGATCTCAGTAGCACTTTATGTTTGAATGAATGTCATAATAGTTAACATAAATTGTGTGGTACTGTATGCTCAAGACTCTTATTACCAGTCACCTAGCAAGCCTATGCATTAGGCTATAAATACTATATCGATTAGTAATCGTCCATTACCCCTTATATAAAGCAACTCCTATTTTAGCCCATGACATGTTACTAGAGTCACACATTTACTTTATTCATTATTTTGTCTGACAAGAAGTTGGCATTGGAACCAAACTTTGAATTCAATTAACAATAATATCAAAAATAGGAAAAGGCAACCAAATCCTAAATGTTCATAATTTACGTCAAGCAAACGTATATGATTATAACTTATGATGTAATAACAATTATAGTTTACCAAATTTGCCATCAAAAACGTCCATCTTGTTGACACATATTGTTTCTGCCTTATTTTGATTACCAATCAATTGCAACAACTTTCACTAACTTCAATCTGAGACATGTAGTATAAGCAATGAAGACGATTTAATGGCAGGAATATTTGCCTACCATGTCTATAAATCTGGAACATTTGAGTTACATGACCATGATGCTGGCCGCTGTTGGCAGCGACTGTGCAGGTGCAATGAAGAAACACTTGCTGTGTAATTGCCACATGTCACCATCATCTGACTGCAGATCAAGCAGTGCAGTGAAGGCAGCAGCAACGATTACAGTTTCCATTTCTTCACCTGCTCTGACCACCGCTTGATTGACAACCATACCTGAGGGATGAAAGTGACCATTACACTAAGGCTATTCACTGTTTCAGATAACAGTCAGCTAAAACCTGGAGTCTCTCTGGAGCTCTCCTACAGTACAAGGGATCATTAGAGTCCCGACAACCTGGGATTTTGCATCGCAGCATCTATGCTCGATAGGCTATTCAGTGAGATGACTAGTTCACTCGTTTAGAGGACATTATGGTGATGACAGGCTGACAGCAGCACCAGGGCAACCGGTTAAACATATGCAAATGTCTCTTTCCCTGCACATTACAGCGCATCAGATTGCTGACAGTCAGAGGGAAGCTACTGTATTGCAAGCTTCTCCTTACCTGGCAAACGGGCAAGATAATGCCTGCTGTCACCGTAGTTTACGGGAGGCGAAGTGTAATGTCTGCAATATTCCGCACTCTGGTAGTACGCTGCATCCCCGTTCTTCAGCTGCAGCGCCATCATCGCAGTGACATCCCTCTGCCAACTTCTACTCAACCAAAAAACCGGGCGACTAGGCAAGATTACTATGGAAAGCCAACAGTGCCAAAATATGCCACTATCTGAACACGAATATACCCTTTTTCCCTCGAGAGGCGGGAGGTTTAAACCTTCCCAATTTGGAATATCTCAGCGTAGCTCAAATGTTTCATATTGACAAAATAGTAAACAATACAAATGAGGAGCCAATAACAAAAGTTTACTTCTAGCTCTTTTTTTAAGCAAAAAATTAAAACAGTACATTTTGTAACTAATGGTACATTTGAACAGAAAAAAAACAATGTCACGAAATAGAATTCCCCAAACATATACAACTTTGGAATAAAGCCTTCAATAACTATCCAAAATGATTAAACAGGCTGACGTGGATAGCCCCACAGGGGGGCCCCCCAACGTTTTATTTCGAGACTGTGTCTCAGGGCTTCTTAACATTTATGAAACCTATTAATGTGTAGCACCAGATTAACGGGAAGAATCTCAGCTAACTGAAGATACGAACCATTTTTACCAAAACAAAACACAAGTCTCATAAGAAGCGTCTAAATGACCCCTGAGCGAAAAAATGCAAACTGACTTTGGCACAGAACTCAAGATAAAGATACCCTTATTACTTATCGTAACTGCACATACAATATATCCGATTAAAGCTGAGACTCCACAGATTATATAGGTATAATATCATCACTGAGCGATCCAAACTCGCGACAGGGGAAGCAAACACAGACATCACAACACGTACCTTTACGGAGCATTTACGGGAGATCGTTTCACCTTAGCTGTCATTCTGATCAAAAGTCGTGTTCAATGGCATTAAAACGATAAAAACGCTGCTGCGGGTTAATCCATAGTGTCCAATTAATGTGTCTGTCGCTTTGAAACAATTATTTATAATCCATAATTCCATTTTTATGAAAAAATCGGAGAAAAAAAAGTTAGCTGCTAATGGTAGCCACCAGAGTGTATGCAGCTTCCGGTTTTGGCCACGTGTCACTCTCACTCCTTATTTGGTAACCTGTGTGTGTGTGTGTGTGTGTGAAACTTTCCCTCGATTCCATTGTCTCTAGCGGTTATAAAGAGATTTCATTCATCAAAATCGACCAAGGGGGGTCAGAGATATGGAAAATCCACCCAAATGACCCCAGAAGTGTTTTTTTTGGTGCTAAATCTCTCTAAAAAGGTCAAATTTCACTTGTTTTGCATCAATCTTGATACAGGGTACTTATTATATGTTGTAGTTTGGATTCCTAAAGCTTTTAGTCTACCATCCCATCATTCAAGGTTGGTTTTCACTATAAGTAATTCTTTTTTTTTTGGACGGACACTATAATTTACATTTTTTTACTGTGTTCAATCTGAATTTACTTAAATTTAATAAAAACATCTATATTGATTCTGACACTTCTACATCCAACTCACATGGTGATACCTTGCTTTGAGAAAAAAGATTATTAATTTAACCCTTTTAGAAGTGTAGTTATGGTCATTTGTTCTGGGAATGTCATTTTCGAGCCTGAGACCTGAAAAACAGGCTCAGTGCATTTGCAGGAAACAACGTCTAAGGAATCTTAATATTTAATAAACTATGAATGTTTTATATCCATGTAACGGGAAGAAACTCAGCTAACTGAAAAAAAACCCCACAATGCTAACACTCAGCCTCTGAATTAGCCACGAGCGAAAAAATTTAACCTATCACTGCACCTAAACTCACTCATAACTCCCTTATTACTTATCCTAGATGCACAGCCAACCCCTCGATTAGCATCTCCTGGATACACAGAATCTGTGGGTACCCACCTCAACACTCAGTGATGAACATTTGCGACGCTATAAACAAAAACGTACATCAAAACATGTGGCGCTAGGTAGCTACAAACGCTAACATGGCTTACCTTGGTCAAAACTGGTCTTCAATGGCATTAAAACGATAAAAAAACGATGCTGCAGTTAATCCATAGGTTAATCCAATGTGTCTTTGTCCTCTTTGAAATGATTTCTGATAATCCATAAGCAATAAAACTGTTTTTTCGTTTCCAAATGTCAGAGCGAGAGATCGCTTCACTCTGGTGCAAACCTGCATGCGGGAAGCCCCCACCGTTTGTTTTCACAACGAGTGTGTGTGGGGGACTCCCCCTTCGATTCTATTGGCTCTAACGGTCAGAAAGAGGTGTCAACCATCAAAATCGACCAAGGGGGGCCAGAGATATGAAGAAAAAAACCATTTTCACCCAAATCACCTCAGAGGTGGAGTGGTTTTGGCTAAACCTCTCTAAAAAGGTCAAATGTCACTTGTTTTGCATCAATCTTGATGCAGGGTACTTATTATATGTTGTACTTTGGATTCCTAAAGCTTTTAGTCTACTAACCTATCATCCAAGGGTAGTTTTCACGATAAGTAAAAAAGAATTTTTGGACGGCACTATAATTCACAGTTTTTTACTATGTAAAATCTGAATTTTCTTTAAAATAAAAAACATCTATATTGATTCTGACACTTCTTCATCCAACTCACAGATGTAACCTTGCTTTGATAAAAGAAATTATTCATATAACCCTTTTAGAAGTTAAGTTGTAGTCATTTGTTTTGGGCATGTCATTTTCGAGCCTGAAACATGAAAAACAGGCTTGGTGCTTAACAGGTTAAATAAAAAGCAATATTCATTTTGTTCACAATATCTTTAGTTCATTTACCTTTTTTTTCTTCAAAAGAACCGATAAAAGTACCGTTAAAGGACCGGATTGATAAGCGGTATCGATAAAAGTAGTAGTACCGTACATTTTTAGACGATATTTGATACTCGGATCTTTTCATTTATTTTCTGTTTGCTTCAAGCAGTGGCTGTACGAAATAGACGTGGAGGACCAAGAAATGCTGGCCAGATTGGCAAAGACCGGAAGATACATAACAGAGAAGATAATGGATATTAACAAGAAAAAGAAAAAAAATACTTTAACATTTTTTTTTATAATTTCTTTGTTGCTATTTAAATTTTGAATTATATTTGTTATTTTTATTTTTAAATCAAATGCATCTATTTTAGATTATATATTTATTTAGATGTAGGTTTTTTTTGTAATATTATTGTATTGATAATGTATAATTTATTAAATAAAAATACTGTTATGAACACTATACAATGTCTTTATTTTGATAGTTACCAGAATACATTGTATATTTAATACTAACATAAGCTGGTGATAGATAGATACATATGGGTGGGGGGGATTTTGAAATGCTGGCATTTGTGGCACTGTTGGCTTTCCATACTGGACAGTTCCTACTTCAAGCTGACACTGAGGCTTTCACCGGAGGGGTGAAACCACTTGAGCAAATACAGAAAGCTTCAGCAAGCAACAATACAAGTTAAATGCACAGCGGCTTAACACTTTGCAGTTGTCATTTCACATTAAAGCAAATATGGTGTCATCACAAATTATATGTATTTTTTTTTAAGACATAACCTGCAGGGGATCCTCGGGCGTCCCTGCTTCTTGGTACAGTCCATGCCCGATGATGCCGCCGATGATTTGCATGGGTGGCAATCATGACACATTGTATAATTATCCTCCTGGGAACTGAGGAAAAACAATGTTTTCCAATCTTATTTTTTTTAAATTTCCTACCTATTTAGGGTTAAAAAAAACATCTTGCAATTTAGACTTTTTTAATTTAATTTAAAGTGGACCTATCATGCTATATTTGAATAATATAGTATAGGACCATACCTATATAAGGCATATTTATACTTCTTTTTTTTCAAAATACCAAACAGATCATGCATTTTAGCCATGCCTCATTTTGCTCAATTTGCACTTTTTTATCCCTGTTTTAGCAAGGGCAGATTCAGTGAGAACAGCACCATCTACTGGCCTGGCATATGTACTACAGCGTCTCCAGCGCTTTCGAACGGCAATGGCCGTGGCTGTCTCCTCCTGATTGGTGGAGTTGGCCCAATAGCCGTAGCGCCACCGTCCTGACGTCAGGATAGTGTTCAAATCTGGATCAGTTTTTATCAGATCCGTTGCAGCCCCTTTTTTAGAGATTTGGGTATGGAGGGAAATAGAGAGGGTTGTGTTTTCTGACACTTGGTGAGTTCCCTGGAACACCGGGGACACATATTCATGTATAAAAGATCTACAAAAGTGCATTTTGCATGATAGGTCCCCTTTAATTTTTAAATGTTACAGTATGTCCACTGTAGAGGACGTCAGGACCATTTTAGTTTGAAAAGACATCCAAAATTAACAGATGAACTGTAACGTATTATGGTTATAGAGTGATATTAATACAAGAATACATTCACCTTTATTTAAAACATAAATAAGTAATTGATCTGAGCATTGCTGTTTATTTGGTCACTAAAAAACTAGTTTGGTTTTTGGTGAATCTTTCCAGATCTTCAAAGACTTTGTGGTCAATGTACTGGGAAAAGTACCTCATTGACTCCAGTCGGCACGGGCTGTATGGGTCATCTTGGCTAGTTTTATGGATATGGTCTCCATTTGACCATGCTCATAGAAACAAAGCTTGCATTCCTGAGGCAATTCTCATTTTTCATGGCTCCACTTAAAATAAAAACAACAATAAGACATACGTGCTACTCTTGGCCCACAGAGGGCCATTTCTTTCCAGCTCGTCCCTATCTGTCTCTCTGTCTGTATCTGTGCGCTCATGGAGCCTCCTGCATCTTTTCCCCCCTTCTTCTTGACCCTCTTCTATCCCAGGTGTGAAATCCTCATCTCTCTCATCATCTGAGAGCTAAAAATCTGAATCTCCGTTAACTATCTGGTACAGAAAAATTATTTGATTAAGCCTATAACATGCTACACTAAATGTATTATTTCATTTATATGATATTACGTATTTAGCAATATTTGAAATTTCTTAATTTTGTGCGTCCTGTGATGCCATAGAATTCAGTTGAAAGGACCACAGAAAAGAGCCTATATGGGGTCTTTGATTTAAAAAATGTTCCCACCTGTGTGTTTAACAGTTTGCATATTTGTATGTTTTTTAACATTTGTTTGTGAATATTTTATATTTTTCCCATATCCCTTTATGATATAGGTAAATTCATTATTGAACGCTGTTGTGTTAATATACTTTATGTTTTTTTATAAATATTCATAATATTTGGGTTGCATCCACTATGATGTAGCTACACAGAACTCTTAGAAGTCACTGCAGTGAGGATTGTAAAGTTTAAATGTTATTTCTTATTTCTTTGTATTCATTCCATTTTTATATTGTTTTCTTTTAAGCCTGTCTTTGTGTGTGTAATATCCCTCCATAGAGATTCATAACGTCTTATTTTATCTTACGAAATTCTGGGCAACATCAAGCAATGTGCCACGCCCATAAACAAAGAAACATGCCTTATTATCTTCTTATTTTTGCACCCTCGTGGTATAGCATAATAAATATATACTACTAATAAATACTAGTACATTATAGTGATAAATCACACCCTGTTCCACACTGTCTGTGTGTGTAGAGGAAGGGAGGGGAGCTGGACCGACAGCGTGGCTGCAGTGCCGCAGAAATACAACGGGTCCAGTCGACCAGCAGTCAAGCTGCTAATAACATCCTCTGCTTGAGTCCTTTTGAATGGACATTTTGGACACATTTTATGTAACTGTGTGCCTTACAACCCAAAACGCGAGTGGGTTTATTTTTTTGCGGGAGCATAAGCGTGTGTGGAGTTACGCCCACTGTCACGGATATCTGGCCGAGAGGCTGACAGTGACAGACCGTAGAAAGCAGCCTGCTTTCCCCGGCGCCGGGAGCCACCAACCCGGCCGGTGGGGACCGGTGGGATCGGCTAGCTGGAAGGCTAGCTAACTGTCATTAGCCGAGGAGATCCTCTCTGACCAGCATCCTCACACACTTTGCTGCCTTGACGTCAACTTAAAAGGGTGAGCTATCGTGCTAAATGAGTCACATTTGTGCATGTTAATAGACAAATGGCTTGCGATTAATGGTGGGAATATATTTAAAAACAAGGGGATGACAGGCTCACCGTTAGCTGTGAGCTAGTGAACAAGAGAGCTAGCTAAACATTCCCAAACTGGACATAACTAAAACATATAGTAAGCTAACGTGGACAGTGGAGACAGTGGTTGACATTGTCAACTATTTTCATTTTTATTTACTGTATATAAACAGTATGTGTCCATATCATTATGCAATATCGAGAGCTCAGTGCTGTGCAGCTGTCATCTCTGAGCTGTCATTCCCAAACACCCAGCCTTAATGTGAAGTGAATGTGGTTTTTATGCACAGTGTGTGTGATGTTTGTGTTTTAATTTCCTCTCCTCCCAACACATATTTCTGTGACAGTGTGAAGATGGACTGAAACATGAAGGGTGGAACTGTCCCATCACCCAAATAAGAGGGTGTCTCTCTTAGGTATGGTTCACAAATTCCTCTTCTTTGTTCACACTCTAGTTAACCTTTGAAATATAATGTTGAATTATTTCTTGAAACTGACAGAGGTAACTGACTGATCATGGTACACAATTGTTTCTTGAACCCACTTTGTTGTGCATAATTTGTTGGTACCGGCAAACCATCTGCTAATTATGTGCAATGCCTTGTTTTTTATGCTGCTGTAACTAAAACATTTCCCAATTTGGGATCAATAATGTATATCTTATCTTATCTTATCTTATCTTATCTTATGTGTTGTAGACAGAGAGTGTATGTTGGATCTTGACCATTGGCCACTTCTAGCCTACACAACTACTTGTGCGGTTGTGTTTCAGTATTCTCAGCAAACTTGTGTCCTGGCCAATGTTTCCCCATTCCCCACATCCTGTGTTTTGAGGAAGCTTCCTCTTTTGTCCTAAAGTGCTTAGCTGCATCCTGATCATGGTCACAGATCGCACAACTGCTCTCAATGGGTGCTTTGTTTTAGTTCAGAGTTTTCCGTTTTAGCTTGTTATTGTTCAATGCTATACCTTTCTTTGTCACAGAAGGTTGCTGTTATCTTTCTGGTTAACTATCAATTTCCTCCATTTTTGTATCAGTCATAACTTCATGTGGGTGGATACTTTTCTGTAAGTTGAAGGATTGATGTATTTAGTTTGCTATCCACTCTTATTTTAATATATTATTACTTGTACATGATTTAGCCATCCATCCATTTCTCCGTTTAACCTTGTCAGTTTTAAGGCCCGGACACACCAAGCCGATTTCGGCCGTCGATAGATGTCTGGCCGTCGATGAGCGTCCTGTCGCCCTACTCAGATTGGTGTGTCCCGCACACGGCCGTGCCGACACCTTCCGCAGCCGATTCGACATGTTGAATCGACCGCGGAGCCTGCGGAGGCTGTCGGCTAAATAAATCACTCCGATTGGCTGTTCAGCTACACTATTTGCCTGAATGGTAGTGGAGCAGTACAGTACTTAAGTAAATGTACTTTGTTACTGTCCACAATCTGCCTAGAAGTATTTTAATGTTGTAGCTGTTCAAGATGGTCATTTTAAAATGTTTAAAAAATATACTGTTAGTAGGCTAGTTAAACCAATAATAATGCTACGGCTGCAACTGACAATTATGTAGGCACATTTTTTTTTCTTCTTAACGCTATGTGATTAAAAGAATAAACACAAATAGCAGGATAGGCACACATATTTTTTGTGAATATACGACCCTCCGGAGTGTTTGCAATTGCCGCAAATTCTTACACGACCACTAGAGGTGCTAAACTTTAAAACGTGACTATAGGTCGTAATAAGCTGCTGAACAATCAACCTATTTGGTCGTATGAGTTGGAGGACTTGTTGGAGGCGACACAACAGTCGTGTTCCGTCGGGACGTGTTCTTTGGTGTCAGTTTGGTTTGTAGGGGCCTTAATATGTGCAACAGCGGAAGCAGAACGGCCTTGACACCAATTTTTTTAGCAGCACCTACAACGTGATAATCAGACCACATTACTTTTTCATTTTAAACTTAATCAAAGAAATATACAGAATACGCCATGCTCTGCATGTCAACTTTAAAACAATAACTTTAGCTGTTTCATTCTATCTATGCATGTTGCTATTTTTTGTGGCCATTCTTCTGGCTCCAGCACAGGAAGGTGATCTTAATCATGCCTGCAATAAAAACAAAAACAATTGGCTTGGTTGCTTTCCTAACAAGGAAAACATAGATATGGATATTGGAATAACTAAAATAATGCGAGATGTGGGTGGTTATTCAGAGGCTGCAAGTGGTTGAAAGCCTGCAGGGAGACTAACCATCATGTCATGAGGCGCTTTCACACCGGAGTACTTTTCCCAGGAATAGTTCCGATAGTTCCTGGGATTTTGCGTTCACACCAAAAAGATCTAGAACTAGAACTTTTTGGTGTGAACCTTTTCACTCCTTTTTAGGCCATGCTCGAGAGCAGGTACTTTCCTGGGGAGAAAAAGGTTCCAATTTATGATTGTCTGGGCGAATTGCAAACCACGCCCCGTAAAACTCTGAAAAGTTTTTGTGAAGCCGCCATTTTCTTTGCTCGCATCAGCATTATTAGCATTAGCATTAGCCCAGCGCACCAACGGAGAGAGACTAATTTATGGCAACACAAAAGAAAACATGGGAGCGGTGGAGTGATGAGGAGGTGTCGGCGCTTCTGGCGATTTACTCGGAAGGCTTCAGTAGTAGCTGCTGGGAAGACTCCCAGCAGCTACTGAAGCCCCCGGCCGGGGGACTTCCGGCCGGGGACTTCAGGTGGCAGTATACGCCATGAAGTTGTTTGCGGCCTGCCAGTAAACCCAAAGCAGAAGAAGAAGAAGAAGAAGTGACGTCAGCGGCTCCCTCATGGACTTATTCTAGTGTGAACGCGATTTACTAGATAGTTCCAGGAAATAAAAGTTCCGGGGAACTAAGTTCCGGGAACTACTCCTGGGAAAAGTAGCCTACTTGGTGTGAAAGCGCCTATGGTGTCATCCCAAATATTTCAAAAGTCTAGTGCAGGAGGGCATCTTGCCAGCGGCCTTTACCAATGCATCCAAACTGGGAATCAGGGGCAATGTTGTGTCTAGACTTCTGAGAGCTTGTGGATATGAAAGTAGTTTTGGTATTGTAAAAGATTCCAAATATCATGAAAAATGTTGATTATTTTATTGATAACTGTTGTTGTTATACAACTTTATATCATGCTATTTACAAATGGTTCTTTGCTCACAAAAAGGACCAACCACCCGTTGTTGAAAAGATGAGCCAAATATAGCTTGAACTCACTAATACTTACTATATTTTGGATTGAACTGTGGTGTAGTTATATGATTTAGTAATAAGTTATAGCGTCTTAAGGGATTTATTATGTAATCTTGATTGTAGTTTGGATTTTTGCATTTGTATATAGCTGCAAGCTTTATTATCACAAATAAAGACTTAATCAAAGCGAGGAAAACCCTTGAAAGTATACGTCAGTACAGTGTTGTTTTGAGGGTATTTGTTTCACACTTTAGCTTGTAAGTACCAAGCATAAAGTATCTGTTTCTATTAAATATTTAAAGCTAATATAGTCTTGACAGCAAAAATTATCCAGACATAGTAGCTTTCATAATTGCAATAGCTCTACTCCTGAAGAAGGACAGAAGCACACTAATGTAATGAGTGAAAGATGGGTATTGGTTTGATGAATCATGATTAAAATACTTTGGTTTTTCTTCTGTCTCTTTCCATTTTTGAGAGCTGATAATGGCTATTAATTGGCTAAATGTTAAGTGATGTTGTAATTTCCAAAGAGCCCACACAAACACATATTTTCCACTCCTTGTGTCACAATCTGTTGCCGTTGAGTCACTGTGTTGTTTTTGTGTTTGAGTGTTAGACATGAGCAGTCTGTCTAAGGTCCCACAAGATGCTGCATTTCCAGTACTCAATAAGAGAGAATTAAATGAGCACATTATTACTGGCTAGTAAGCACTTAGTGAGAAAATTCAAAAGATATGTTATTTTGTTCGTCACTGGTTTAAGAGAAAACCAATATTGGTTATGGATACAGCACTGTACCTTGTGACATGTTTTTTTGTTTTCTGGGTGTGCACCCATTGGGTTTACTTTTATTCCATCTCCCTTTTTCACATTTGTTTTACAATACCCTGGTACCATGCTCAGTATAAATAAATCATGCTTTTTCATGCTTCATGTGCTTATACTGATGATATCAATTTCAAAAGAATACAATACAAATTAAAAAACTTAACATCAAAAGGTATAAAGATAGGTTGTCATGAACACCTTGATATGAACCTAAAAAGACTTGCAAATGAGAAAGGAATGATTTCAGGTATATATAAACTTCTCCTCACCTCCACCGCCAATACTAATCTGCAGACACAGAAAAGATGGGAGCAGGACTTAGGCATCACCCTTACCCCAGTTGAGTGGGACAGAATCTGGTCGAACTCAACATCAATCTCCAAGTGTGTCCGGTTTAGAGTAATACAGTTACAAATCCTTCACAGAGCGTACATCACACCCTGTAGACTCAAAAAGATGGATCAAACACTCTCTGGCCTATGCTGGCATGGTTGTGTGGAAGTGGGTACCCTTTTACATTGTCTTTGTCCTGTCCGGCTGTAAAATCTCTTTGGGACGTAGTTGGAGATACACTCGCTGAGATTCTGAACATAGAGATACTCTTAACTCCAGCTACATGCTTGCTGGGATCCCCGCTCAATGGCATAACATCAACATTTGCAAGTAAACTCATAGCCCTAGCATGCCTTTCAACTAAACGCCTCGTTCTTATGAACTGGAAAGTCAGAAAGCCAAACTGCTTCAATTTAAATAGATGGCTGGAGGACTTCCTAAACATCTTAAGTATGGAAGAAGCTGCTTTCTCCCTGTAATATTTGGTTAAGCCAGACAACAGGCGTTGGGATAAGATAAGGGCTTTCCTGGACTCAAACCATCTCGGCTGCCAATAATAAATATAATAATTGTAATAATATTAATAAATAAAGAGAAATAAACTATGAAGAAACAGAAAAATAATGGTAATAATAATGAAAAAAGTGAAATTAAATGGGAAATGGATGAATAGGTGAATCAGAAAAGGAAGAGATGTGTATGTGTGTGTATATATATATATGTGTGCATATATATATATATATATATATATATATATATATATATATATATATACATTTATTTGACTATTTATCTATTTATTTATCTATTATAAATGTTTTTGTTTTATAATAATAATGAGGAAACAATGAAGTATATCTATATTATGAAGCAAATCATGTATAAATACGACGCCATATGCATACATAAAATGTAACTGACACTGTAATCCCGCTACTTTCCCACCCTTCATGTTATTGTCCTGTCCTGTTTGTGATGTGTGTGAGCCATGTCCTTGTCCGTATATTTATGTCTTTGAAAAAATGTCTAATAAAATACAAATGTTAAAAAAAAATTCAAAAGAATATATTTTTGATAGAGCTGCTTAAATCATCTTTAGAAGAACACATGTTTGTTCCGTTAACATCCAGTATGTTTCTAAGTGGTAGAGTAGGTTATACAGTAAGTTAGAATTTCATTCAATATTGATTCAGAGTGCTACGACTTTTTGAAACTGCTGAACACCTACAAACAGGACTTCTGATGCACAGATGTGAGCTGGGCTTGGAGAGCTTGTGATGAAAGTCTTTTGTTGGATTTGTCCGCACAGTTAGAGTATCAGATGAGACACTTGACCTGGCTGAATTTCCACTTCTTTTGTCTTTGAATTTAGTCTCAAGTGTCGAGTACTGTCAAGAAATGTTCAGCGAAGGCATCCATTGTAGACCAGGGACTGGATCCAAACAGAAAGATAAGCGTGTTTCTCTCAGGATTGTTTCATGCGGTGGTGCTGAGTTCATCAACAAATGCTATTCCAGACTGAAGTTTGATTTGCTGACAAATGGACTAGAGATTTTACAAGATGCTCTCAAAATAGGTGAAGTAAAAGCCATTGGGCCAGTTGATGGGCCAGAATAAAAAATTAACAACTTGAGCCATACCGAATTGTTAAGTTTCGCAGTGGCAGAATTTGTGTTCATGCATTGTAGGTTGTTGCTAATGTCGGTCGAGAGTAAAAGTATTTAAAAGAAAATGGTCTGTAAGTGTCTTGGTTAGATACACTTGAGTGACATGACAGGGTAAACTATGCCAGTTCTTCACCTGACTTGCATGCTCTGCTGTCAGTCACTGTACTTGCTGTTTTGTGGTTGACTGAACACGCTTGTTCTCTTTAACTCAGTGAGCACTGCTAAGCCTCGGCAACATGCAGGACTGCAGATTCACAGAGCTGTACTGGCGAGTTTTCAACTGAAATTAGCTCATTTTCAAAAAAGCCACCAGATTTTAAGTCATCCTTATATAAACTTTCTTTATTTAAGGTTGCCACTTAGTTAATTATTGCGTAATTGGGTTACTAAATCAATGCTTTTTTAAATGACACTTTTTGATACATTCTTTTAAGTCACAAGCCAAATAAACAGTTGCTCATTTGGTCCACCCAGTTATGTATACTAAACAACATTATTAGTCAGAAAAAATAAACATGAAGTCAAATGTATTAAACAGTCCAATTGCATATTACTATTTGTATGTTATGTATTACTACAGAGGGGCTTTCATTGAATTCGACTTAAAGCCTGTTTCTTTACATTATGACTGTCAAAATATTTGTTGTTCTTTTTCAGGTTGTGCTCTGCAGCTTCACTCTGACTGAGCTGGGAGACAGAGAGGAAGATGCCTCCCAGGCCGTCCTCAGGGGAGCTATGGGGCATCCACTTGATGCCTCCCAGGTACGCACACTAGAACAAATTGTGAATAAAAATGCTTTTTTGACCGTAAAGAATAGCCTCAAAAAGTACACATGCCTGTTCTTTTATTAGGTTTAAGCCTTTAGTGATCGTTTTTAGAATGTTATTTTGATATGGTATGTTCCTTATTAACACACTGAAATGCCTAACGAGGGCCTAGTAGGCTTAGTGAAAAGTACATTTAAATGATTCATCAACATATTATAGTAATGCTGAGAGTTTCTGCAGGATCCTGGTGGACTGCCTGCTGCCCAATGGGATGATTCTGACCCTGGAGTGTCTCCGTGAGGCCACGCTCATCACCATCAAACATGAGCTGTTCAAAGAGGCCAGGAAATATCCTCTTCATCACCTCCTGCAGGAGGAGACATCCTATATCTTTATCAGTGTAACACAAGTAAGAGTTAATCATCTCAATTTGAATATTTCTTACACATAAGTTTCCACCTAAATACATAAAACACAAGGGAAATCCATTATTAAAAGTTTGATGGACTAACCCCAGAAAATCAGTTAATAATGAAGAAAATAAATGTTTCTGGAGCTGCTTTAGGTGCTGGTAAAAAAGTAATAAAGAAATAGGTCTCTAGAACTTGTGTTTAAAAACAAACTGTTTCACCTGTAAAAAACAAACATCCATCCTTCACCTACAGGAAGACTGTAAGTTATTTCAGAAATTCCCAATGGTTTTGTGAAAAACATTTGTTTTGCCTGCCTGCAGGAAGCCGAGCGGGAGGAGTTCTACGACGAGACCCGGAGGTTATGTGATCTCCGACTCTTCCAGCCTTTCCTCAAGGTCATTGAACCAGTTGGCAATAGAGAGGAAAAGATCCTCAACAGAGAGATTGGTGAGAGGTTTTTCTCCTCTAATAGCACTTGTTCTATTGGATCCTTTGTGAAAAAATGTGGACGAAATAAAGTTTGGAACATGACTAGTGCATATGCTTGTTCAGAAAGAAAAACTATCTCCTGCTACCTACCAATGTTGAAAAGAACACTGACACTGCTTTGTATTTTTCAGGTTTTGCCATTGGTATGCCTGTGTGTGAGTTTGACCTTGTGAAGGATCCGGAGGTTCAGGACTTCAGGAGAAACATCCTGAATGTTTGTAAAGACTCTGTGGAGATGAGAGATGCCAGCGGGCCCCACAGCAGAGCGCTCTATGTTTATCCTCCCAATATAGAATCCACACAGGAACTTCCAAAACACATCTATAGCAAGCTGGACAAAGGTAGGCAACAGCTTAAGACTTGTTTCCAGTCTAACATGTTTAACAGGAACATTTAAAAAAAAAACTAATTATTATTATTAAATAGAAAACAGAACACGAAAAGCACTTAAAGACAACAGGGAGCAGGAGGTACGTTTTAGCCTCCCATCAATACTTAATGACTACTAGCCAGCTACTACAATGGATATGAACTGCAGTAATGGGCAGGTCAATCAATGACTGATTGAGGTACTACTACTGTCAAGCTAAATACATACCACAATTTAAGGTGGGTGGTTATGGTTTTTCTGGGTTGCTGCTAGAGTAAAATTTGATTCATTGATTCATTTTCTCACCTTTCTTTTTGTCTCTCTGTCATGTTTTGTAGGTCAGATTATCGTTGTGATTTGGGTGATTGTTTCTCCAAACAATGACAAACAAAAGTATACACTGAAGATCAACCACGACTGTGTGCCTGAACAGGTAGGATGAATATGGACTAAAAGGAAAAGACGATTGATTAGTTATGGACCACGTCACTCTTTGAATATAACACGTGGGATTTAAAGGGTGTCTAATATAGGCGCGTATCTTGTCCTAAAGGTGATTGCAGAGGCCATTCGTAAGAAGACACGCAGCATGCTGCTGTCCCCAGAGCAGCTGAAGATGTGTGTGCAGGAATATCAGGGTAAATACATCCTCAAAGTGTGTGGCTGTGATGAGTACCTGCTGGAAAAGTACCCCATCAGCCAGTATAAGGTAAGGGCGTCCCCAGATGATAAAGACATACAAGAAGAAAAAATGTATTTGGAAAATTTGACCTCAAATGACTTGAATGACAAAAAGTAAATATTTCCCGAGAAATTCTGCAGAATGAAGAGTTGGAATGTCTCAGTTTAATGTCTCACACAAAAAAACAATCAAACCATCAAAGGATGCTCTTAGATAGATCAAGCTAATCCCGAGATTTTAAATAAATCCCTGTCAGGATATAGCCAATGTCTCATCCAATTGAGATCTTTTATTTATTGTAAACATTGAGTATATGTCAAAACAACATATTAAAACACTGGAACCATTCCCTCATCAAGCACAGCAATGTGATCCCACACACAATGTCCGTGTGAGCCAAATCAAAGCAGAAGGTGCACACGGTATCAGTGTTTCCTCTACAGTCACTTCGCGGCTGCTGGAAAATGACCAATTGATATCACTGTCACACTTACGCATGCTGTAACTCTAGCAGCTCTGTGGACTCTAACCGTCCATCTCTGCGTCACTCCCTCTCTCCTTCCCTCCCTCTAGTATATCCGAAGTTGCATCATGCTGGGCAGGCTGCCTAACCTGATGCTAATGGCCAAAGACAGCTTATACTCTCAGTTGCCTACAGACAACTTTGTCATGCCGTCGTACTCTCGACGCATCTCCACGGCAACATCCTATATGAATGGCGAGACATCTGCCAAGTCGCTGTGGACCATCAACGGGACCCTGCGGATACGAATCCTGTGTGCCACCTATGTTAACGTCAATATACGGGACATAGACAAGGTGGGGGCGCGCAGACATTACATGAATATACCAGTGTTTGTGCTTCTCAGTCAAATTAAACAACAGATCATTGACTCTAATACTATATCCCTTCATAGATTGTAGGAGAAGATTAAAATGTAGATTAAGAGATTTTTTTGTAGTAACATTTTGTATTCATTCTATTTTTGTAGATTAATGGATATTTGTTTTTAAGCTAAATCCGTTGACTGTTATTTCAGTTGTGCAAAGTGTCCCATCTTCCAACTCCCTCACTTCCTGTGGAAACAAACAGTCATTGTCCACGTCTCCTGTGAACAGAGACCTTGAAGGGAAAGCAGTTCTGGTAGCTCATGTTGATGTGCTGTCAGGAATCATTTGCACAAATGTTATGTTTTCATAAATGCCAGACTGCTCCATAAAGATAAAGCTCATTTAATGTGACAGCTGTTACAAGTTGCCAATGGTGTCCAACAGTTAACTCTTTTACAATGTTATAGTGCAGCTATGCCAACCACTCTTATTGATGTTTCCCTTTCTCGTTCTGTTTTGCTTCTCTTTTATATTTACAGATTTATGTGAGAACAGGCATTTACCATGGAGGTGAACAGATGTGTGACAATGTCAACACGCAGAGAGTACCTTGTTCTAACCCGAGGTAATTGACAACTCTTCATAAAATACCTTTTAAATTACTAAAGCAGCCCATTCCTGCAGGACTTTTTTATCATGACTTTATTTGTAATGACCTCTTCATTATATAGTGACAAAATGCTTAAAAAACATGACTAGTCAGAGAAAAGTTAAACAAATAAGAAGAAATAAGATAAAGATATTTAAATACAATGAAATGAAATGAAATGAATCAATTATTAGTATCCAATAATATAAATAACTTCTACTTCAATTTAATTTTCTCTTTGTTTGACTTAGAAAGTAACAATTGACACTTCAAATTCACCTTAAGTAGTCTAGTGCAGGAAGGGAATGGTAACAGTTACTGTAAGTGCTGACTATAGTAACACTAAACTGCTGTATTACATTACTGGTGAACCCAAGTCTACTCTATTGTATGTACTGTATAGGCCTGTAAGAACAGTCCCTGTGTGATAGCAGTGAAAGGGGGCACAGGTCTCTTTACGTCATTACTTTCCCTGAAGGATTATATTTGAGATTTGTTCTTGTTGTACTTTTTTGGCCTTGTCTCATACATTTTCTCTGTATCTCTTTCTTTTGTTTAACTACAGGTGGAATGAATGGCTCACCTATGATATGTACATCCCTGACATACCTCGAGCCGCCAGACTCTGCCTCTCCATCTGCTCTGTCAAAGGCAGGAAGGGAGCCAAGGAGGTAGGATAGAGAGCAGTGAAGGAAATGACCACACAATGCAACTTAACTGGACAGGAAGTGGACATGCAAAAAACAGGAAGTGTCTTACTAGGCTATTTTGATACTACTGTTGAATTGTTTTGAACAGTTAGGAACAGTTATGGAAAAGAAAACATACATATAGGGGAATGCAATATCTTTGGATAAAAAACACCAAAACATCCATAACCGGGCAAAACAAACCAAACATAAACCAATGTTATCCAAAGGATAAAAATAGCTGATCATACAAATACCATCAGCAGTATATGCCATATCACAGATAGGCACACAGTTCTGCAGAGAGCAGATGACCTCCATGTGTCTCAATCCTTTATTCAACACTCGCATACCTAGCCATCCTGAAGGGTCCTACTGTATACTGTATGTGTATAAGTGCCTCTTGTGTGTGTATTGTGTGCTGGTATTGCTATATGAAGCTACCTTACATCATGTGTCAGTCTCTCTCAGTATATGTGTCCGAGGTGAACGGGAGCTGTGGTATCGTCTTTGGCTCTGTTTAATTACTAATCAGCCATGGGCACTGTGGTGGCAGAATACATCCACAGAAACACAATCAGCGGGAGAGACTTTTCCATTCATGCTTCAATTTGTTTCGCTAGTGCAAGCCGTGCTGATGGCATGTTTTGCAACAGACTTTTATTCTCACTTAAAACTCATATCAAGTATTTTAATTAAATACTTCGAAAATAGACAAATGTATACTTTAATTGTGGAACATTTTAAATTAGGGCTGAGATGTTAGCTGTTTAATATCTTGTGATTTAAAACTTAAAACGTTATGCTTATTTTAGGTGCATAATATTAATATCAAACGTACAATACAAATAATAATGGTATGTATTCTGTTTGGAAACCATGTGTTGTAAAACAGTTTGAAGTGTGTCTGAGGTTTTGTGCATTAGGTCAAAAAGTCGTAGCAGACGCCCACACGGATTGATTCTTCTTCCGTCTCTCTTTGGTACAAAAGCTGAAAGAAAGAGAAGCGGGTGTATGTGTGTGAGAGAGAGAGTATCAATGGATGGCAGACATGGATATTGTAACAGACACCCGGGTAAGCCCTATCCCGTACAGCGCAGAGGCTGAGGTCAGGTTAACGGATGCTCTTTCAGGCCCAACCTGATAAACACTTCTTTACAGCAGCCATTTGTTCCAGCACTTACTATTAATAGGTGCATTTTGACTGGCTGTCTGCATGTAACTCTGTCTGGCTCCCCATGTTGCCCTTTGTCCCCTGGTTCCATCGCTTCCCCCTAGTGAAGAATCACTCTGAAGATCAAGATGTTATCATAAACATTTCCTCTGCTTTTGTGGAGGCTAGCTTAGTGGCTCTGGTAGAAGGAGTACTGCAGTTTAAGGATTGTTCGATAAGATTTATATATTATATTAGATATTGCCAAGACCCATCATTTTACCGTCCGTTAATCCATAATCAATTACTCATAGAAAGGTTGAATTTAGAGTTGAATTGATGATTTTGCCAGAAATGCTCTATTGCAAACCAAAAAAGGGACTAGAGGAGGGCAGAACTCAGCCAGTCATGAGCGCTAAAAATAAGTAGTGTTATATTTTATTGCTCAGAGCCTTTCTATAACACGCTGATATCATTTTACCAGTTGGTGATCCTACTAAAGGGGGCTTCAACGTGAATTTCCCCAGTCTGGAACTCATTTTCCAGATCATTCAGACACCACTTATAGGCAGCACAAATCCCCTTCCTCTCATTGTTAACAAAAGTTATTTATTGATGTTTTTATTTGTATTTACTCCAACATGTAATTGGTTGTTCTTCTGTAATCCTGCTGACAGACCAACAATCCAAACAAAAACATAACCTCCTAGGAGGTAACAACAGACGTGTTGTCATATACAGCACCAGAAAAAACATTAAGTCACATTTAGGATGAACTGAATGAATATCTAGCAAATATAAAAAGCCTTTAAAATCACTTTACCTGCATACTATAACCTACTTAAACCTTGTAAGACTCTTTAAACTCTTTAAGTTTTAAAAAACACTCATTTTTGTCAGGGTATCACCCCATTGTAAACTAACATGTTAAAGGCAAACACACAGCAGCTCCTTGATCTGCTTTCTGAGTAAGTAAGTGTTCTCAGCAAAAGGGAACCTTAATGAGACTATATTCTTTCACAGTGCGAGTCCCAGAATATGTTGGTGTTAAAAGCCTCTTTGATATTCTAAATGATTCACCATCTGTGTTTGTGTTTGTTTTTTTCCCATGAGCTTCACACATTGCAATTAATTCAATTTCCACTCAATGGGTCCTTCTCTCTCTCTCTCTCTCTCTCTCTCTCTCTCTCTCTCTCTCTCTCTCTCTCTCTCTCTCTCTCTCTCTCTCTCTCTCTCTCTCTCTCTCTCTCTCTCTCTCTTCTCTTACTTGTCTGTCTCCCTTTAGGAGCACTGTCCACTAGCTTGGGGTAATATCAATATGTTTGACTACACTCACACTCTGGTGGCCAACAAGATGGCTCTGAATCTTTGGCCTGTCCCTCACGGCCTTGAAGACCTCCTCAACCCCATCGGAGTCACTGGATCCAACCCTAATAAGGTATTTGAATTAAGCAATCTTTCAATCACATTGTTTTGCACTGTTGCTTCATTTCATAACAAATGTACAAATTTACCATTTTTGTTATTCACACAATGTGTTGATATTCATTTCTACTTTCCAGGAAACCCCATGCCTGGAGCTGGAATTTGACCACTTCAGTAGTTTGGTCAAATACCCAGAAATGAATGCAGTAGAGGATCATGCAAACTGGACCATCTCAAGGGAACTGGGGTTTAACTACAACCTTTCTGGACAGGTAATTACCTGCTAACAAGCTTCCTATCAGTGGGCTAGAAGAGTACAATAACACAGTGTATATTTTAAATGTTTTGAACCTCAAACACAAGGAAATAAATGTCAGTTATAGCTTAAGACCATGAGGGGCCTCACATGTTTAATGTTGCATCTGTAAGAGGGCTGGACCAAAATGTAACAATATTGAACTGATTACATACATGTCAAGTGTGAAATCCACAGCAATTGCAGCATTAAGAAACATAACGAAATACAACTTAAGCTCCATGTTCATTCATTGACATGTAAGTTACAGTGCTCAAATACACACTTAATAAATAAAATATAACATGTACAGAGTTACTAAGAATAGAATAAGTAAGTTATTAATGAAGGTGTTTGAGTTTCACTGCTCATTACACCCCTTTGTAGTGTGACATTGATTTAGGAGTTCGTAATGTGAGGTGTGGGTCTGTCCTTGTTGAAGGCATTTCTTGCAATAACAAAATCTGCCCAATTAAAAGTCATGCAGGTGAGTAAGTAATGTGAACAGAAAGCTGTGTTGTGTACTGTAAGACACCACATTTAATTATAGTAAGGTGTTATATAAACACATTTGTGAATATTACACATTTTATATTTGTAGGGTTCCCTTTGGTGAAATAGTGATTGCTTTTAACATACGTAGGCAGCACCACAGTTGATTACAGTAGGTTGAATGTATGAATAGATGCAACGTGTCACACACACACACACACACACACACACACACACACACACACACACACACACACACACACACACACACACATTAATTGAAATGAAAGCCATTTTAACTTTCTTTCTGACATTTCATAAAAATAAAAAAAACTGTTTGATATAAGTACATCAATACATTTAAAAAATGTATATCATTTTCCACCCAACCATGAAATATAAAATCTCCTGGCCCGAGTCGCCCCAACACTTTTCCTGTAACTCAGTCGTGCAGTTAGCTGTCGTGTTCAGTTATTCATGATGGTGCAGCTGATGCCGTCTTATCAGGTTTCTAGATGATGTGTGGCATGAGAGCCATGACTTGTGTGAGGTTGGAGTTACTCTGCCATGTGAGAGGATGTGAACAGTGTGAGACAATGTGTTAACTTATTCATGATGTCTGTGTCAAATGTGGTGAATGTCCAACTCAATAAGCGTGAGGATATCATCCGGCTCACTTCTGAGCAGAACATTGTTTTATTTTATCTTAGGTACAATTTAAATCTAAATTAACATCAAATTTTACCAGAATATTGAAGATTTTGGCACTTGGTTTCATAAAGGTGTTTGGTTGGGCGAGGGACAGTTGAATGTATATACAGATTTATTTTGGCAAAGTAATTGCCAAAGAAAAGAAACTCAAATTGGCGATTTAAGGGAAACAGTAAGTGCTTTGACAGCCTAAGACTTACGCCAAATGTAAACAGTATCTGGCTGCATATCATACCAACTGCATTCTGTCTGGGTCACAGTGTCAATAGATATTGAAGTGAAACGTCTGTTATTCTGCAGCCAAATGAATCCATTTAGATGGTTTTGCCAACATTTGTGTGTATCAAAAGCATAAATACATGCTATATTTTATTTTACTGTAGATATGAAGGTTTAACATGTTGTCTACCTCCCCCAGTTTTTGTCTCCTATTTTTCTACAAACACTAGTTTTATCCTGTATCTGATAAGATAAAGTCAGGATTTGCATCATTAGAATGAATAAATATCAAGTAAAAGCCAGAAGAATACTGGCATTTAAATGAATTCAAAGTTAATTTCCCGCTTCTCATGAGCAAGCTGCTCCTGTAAAAACAGACCCAGATGGTGACTTGAATACAGTTTCTCATTTTGCCAACCACTACCATGATCTAGGGCTGTGCAATTAATCGTATTTTAATCGCAATTACGATTTTGGCCTGCCACAATTACGAAAACAACATAATCGAAGAAAATGATTATTTTGCTTTGCTAGGTTGTGGTTGTATTTTTGTATTGATTTTTCAGTTGAATTATACGTTCAGGGTAATCAACAGTTAAAAAGATACTGTTCAAATTATTATTTGTATTTAAAAGTTCAATAAATGGATGTTTTCAAAGGCAATGAATAATCGTATTTAATAATCGTGATATCAATTATTGACCAAAATAATCGTGATTATGATTTTTGCCATAATCGCACAGCCCTACCATGATCTGGTACTCTAATGTGTGCATATAAATAATAAGTGATTGTTGGTGTAAATGAAGGCTGTGGTTGTCTCAGATCAGTATACAATGTGCAGTAATTTAGAAATGTAAACTTTGAAAGCTGACGGAAATGGTTGAATAAAACAAAATATATAGTGCAAAAGTTAAAATGGTATGAATTACAGACTTGTATCTTTTGTGGTGTGTGGTTTCAGGTCCATCAGACTGTGTGATCTATTAGGGCTGTTCAATGTGGATTTATTTATGATGACAGCGTAATGTGGTGTATAAAGTTATTCCTTAATCTGTAACTTGATATGTTTGACAAGCACCGCAACAGTAATGGAAACAGTTGGTATCGTTCCAAGCTTTATTGGCTCCTCATAGTAACTGCATGGTTGATTATCCAGAGAGGCACATATTTATTAGATAAAGATACTGTGATGCCAAAAAAATAAAAAATAAAAAAGTAACAAATGGTAGTTTTAACAATAAGCGTCAAAGAAGACAACATCGCTGTTTAAGGTTATGATTAAAGTTAAATCATGACAGCCAATAGATTTATTATGGTACTGTTGGCAATAATAATGTTTTTATTTGTACTTTTTTGTTCTGTTTTAGAGCAACCGGTCGGCCAGAGATCATGCCCTGACGGATAGCGACACTGAGCAGATGAGACAGCTGAGTAACAGAGACGCTCTCTCAGAAATCACTGAGCAGGAGAAAGACTTCCTCTGGAGACACAGGTAACCACACAGCCAGCAAGTATAACACTATAACTACCATATATCACACATAAAGTACTACTTGGATTGAAGAAAGTGGCATGAATTGAACAGGTCAAATTCTATGTAGCTGTACGTGAAAATAGATTCAATTCGGGCTTGTTATTTTTGGTTGGTAGCTAAAAGTGCTATTGTTTTGGGTTTTATTCAGCTGTTATTCTGAAAGGGACTGGTTGGTACAGTGGAAAGAAAATAGTTCCTACATTTAAATGCTCACAACAAAGTCTGTGTCATCTTAAGTAAAGGGTATGATTTCTGGAAGAGACATTGCTGTTGATCTTTTAAATAACTTTTGGTGTGAACTGTCTATTTAATAATACATAAAACAAAAAAAGTTAAACAACATTTTAAAGAATAACCAGAGCCAAATTGTGTACGCTGAATACTCATGTAAATCAATATCACTTATCAGATTTAGTTTTAACTTTGTATGCAGGATGTAGATGTGTAAAAACAACAGATTAAAACTTAAAGTGGAAATGTAGTTATCTCCTTTCTTATTTTCTACCAGACACTACTGCATGAACATCCCTGAGATCCTTCCCAAGATCCTGCTCTCTGTCAAATGGAACTCCAGGGATGAAGTAGCACAGGTAATGTCATGCCATTTCCTACCTGCTCATTACAAAAACACTCATACATACTCAAAATAAACTTGATCAACGAGTAAAGGAAAGATGTTTTGGGGGATTGTGAAAAATACAAATACATGCAGAAAAAAGTAGGTAAATGCAAATTGTGTTTTCCATCTACTCCATGTTGGACCACTTAAATCAACTTGTTAGGAAAGAACTCCTTTTTAAGCTTGAGTGTATACTTGAGTTAATATATTTACCGCCGCAGACAGCTGATAGTTTATAATGAGTATTAAATCATATTTCTTGTTTGTCTCCCAGATGTACTGTCTGTTGAAGGAATGGCCGTCCACCCGCCCTGAGCAGGCCATGGAGCTGTTGGACTGTAACTACCCAGACCCCATGGTCAGACACTTTGCTGTATGCTGCCTCGAAAAATACCTGACCGACGACAAACTGTCCCAGTACCTCATCCAACTTGTACAGGTGGGTCTGATACTTTAAGTAGACTGTGGGGTGCCTTTGTACAGTTATATCTGTAGGAAAGCAGCTGTATTGAAGACTCTAAAAGTCTGCCTTAAGCTGTTGCTTTGTGTACTGAGGCTCCATGGTGAAAAACAGTATTGAATCCGAAATGACTAACCTGAACCCCCGTTATGCATCTCGATCATTTCTCTTCTCCTGTTCTAGGTATTAAAATATGAGCAGTATCTCGACAATCCCCTGGCCCGTTTCCTCCTCAAAAAGGCTCTGACCAATCAAAGGATAGGTCATTTCTTCTTCTGGCATCTAAAGTGAGTCACCATCCAGATTGCTTTTTCCCTAATGTTTATGCAGCGTCCTTTCTCTGTGAGCTATTATTATCTTTCCTTCCTGCTTCCCACTCCCTTCTCTTTGTGGCTTCTTCACAGGTCAGAAATGCACAACAAAACAGTGAGCCAGAGGTTTGGGCTACTGCTGGAGGCGTACTGCCGGGCCTGTGGGATGTACCTCAAACACCTGAGCAGGCAAGTGGAGGCCATGGAGAAGCTCATTAACCTCACTGACATCCTCAAACAGGAGAAGAAAGATGAGACGCAGAAAGTAAGGAGAGCAGCAGCACACACTTACACACACGTATTATACATTTGCACAAAAAAACATTATGCTTTTGTCTGGTTCAGGTCCAGATGCGGTTCCTTGTGGACCAGATGAAGAGACCGGACTACATGGATGCTCTGCAGAACTACACCTCTCCTCTCAACCCTGCACACCAACTGGGAAACCTGAGGTAGGGAGCAGCGTGACTGAGCCTGTGTGTGCATGTGTGCTGTTGTAAAAAGAGGGCATTGTACAATACCTTGAATGAATTTGTGCACAGGTTAGATGAATGCAGGATCATGTCGTCAGCGAAGAGACCGTTGTGGCTGAACTGGGAGAATCCTGACATCATGTCCGAGCTGCTCTTTCAGAACAATGAGATCATCTTCAAAAATGGAGATGGTAAGTAACACACGGACACAAACAACCCACATTACACTTTGCCACACTCAAGTGTTTTGTATCTCACTCAATACCACCAGTATGCCATTGAAAGAAACTCTGATAGCTTTAGCTCTGTTAGCCGGTAAAGGCCTTAATAGGCGCTTTCACACCAAGTACTTTGCCGTACTTAGTTCATCAGAACTTAGTTCATCAGAACTCTTTAGTTCTGAAGCAGATCGCGTTCACACCGGAATAAGTCCCTGAGGGAGGGTTAGGCAAATGAAGCCGCTGACGTCACTTTTTCTTCTGCTTTGGGTTTACTGGCAGGCCGTAAACAACTTTACGGCGTATACTGCCACCCGAAGTCCCCGACCGGAAGTCCCCGGAGTTGGGGACTGGCTTCAGTAGAAGCTGCTGGGACTCCCAGCAGCTTCTACTGAAGCCTTCAGAGTAAATCGCCAGAAACGCCGACACCTCCTCATTTCCACCGCTCCCATGTTTTCTTTTGTGTTGCCATAAGTTAGTCTCTCTGCGTTTGTGCGCTGGGCTAATGCTAATGCTAATAATGCTAATGCGAGGAAAATAAAATGGCGGCTTCACAAAACTTTTTGGGAGTTTTACGGGGCGTGGTTTGCAATCTGCCCAGCCAATCAGAAATGGGAACCTTTTTCTCCCAGGAAAGTACCTGCTCTCTAGCAGGGACGGAAAAGGGGGTAAAAAGGTTCTCATGAACTAAGTTCTAGTTCCGGATTTTTTTGGTGTGAATGCAAATCTTCGGAACTATATAGGAACTATACTGGGAAAAGTACTCCGGTGTGAAAGCGCCTAATGGGTAAAAATCTTTTTTTAAATCAATATTTTAATGTCTTAAAAATGCAAAGCCATTGGATTCAGGATTTTCAGTTTTTTTTGTGATCTTGCATTGTTTAATCTCAAAAATAATTAGTAACATCTAATTAAAAATGTTTGCCATTAACATCAAACAGATCCTGATAGCGGTTAAAATGCATATACAAAATCTCTGATTTCATTCCAAGTGTAGTTAAAAATGTTCAATTTAATTTACTTAGTCTGTAGGAACCCTCTAACCAACTTCATTGTTTATGTTTGTGTTATAGACCTGCGGCAGGATATGCTGACGTTGCAGATTATTAAAATCATGGAGAACATTTGGCAGAATCAGGGGCTGGACCTACGGTACTCTCCCTATTCTATTTTCTCGATCCCTTTTCCTCCCATATTTTTCTTGCACAGTTTTTTCTGCTTCAATTGATACATTCTCTAACTTTCTCCTGCCTCAGTGCATATGGCTAAACAAATCTGTTGGTGTGTGTCTACAGGATGCTTCCGTACGGCTGTCTGTCGTTGGGAGACTGTGTGGGGCTCATTGAGGTGGTTCGCAGCTCCCACACCATCATGCAGATTCAGTGTAAAGGAGGCTTGAAAGGAGCCCTGCAGTTCAACTCAAACACTCTGCACCAGTGGCTCAAGGACAAGAACAAGGGCGAGATGTGAGCTCCTCTCTCCTGAGATTATTTTTCACATCATTAGACAGGGAAGAACATAAGAGGACTTTAGTGTGACCCTTAAAGAAATCTGCTGTTGCTAAGAGTTGCAGCCTATTTCCTGCCCACATAAGTTTCCAAATCCACATTAGTTTTTTAAAGAATTTTCACATTTCCAATTGCTTTTAAATGCTAAATTAATTGTGTCACTGCTAATTTGTGTGTGTGTTTTTGCAGGTATGACCTGGCTGTGGATCTGTTCACGAGGTCCTGTGCTGGCTACTGTGTAGCTACATTTATCCTCGGGATAGGAGACAGACACAACAGCAACATTATGGTCAAAGATGATGGACAGGTAACTTGTGTATGAACACCAGACACTTTTATTTAAGGCACAGTAGGACACGTTACAGTTTTCCCTAACAGACACATAGTGAACAACCTGCACAATGTTTCAATCCTAATCTGTCTAGCCAAGCCTCTGTTTTTTCTTCTTCTTATATATGAGCGAATACTCAGCAGACTGAATGGCACATTTTATTGAAATAAATTGGTATCAGCAGTAAATAGATTTCACTTAAGAGGAGGTAACTTGTTATAGAGAAACTACTTTTTGACTTTGTGCTTTCTTCTTTTCCCTGCTCCCCTCTAGTTGTTTCACATAGATTTTGGCCATTTCCTTGACCATAAGAAGAAGAAGTTTGGCTACAAGAGAGAGCGTGTGCCCTTTGTGCTGACACAAGACTTCCTCATCGTCATCAGCAAGGGTTCCCAAGAGTGTGCCAAGACCAAAGAGTTTGAGAGGTACTGCAGCATTTAAACTATGTATTAGTCTTCTACATGCAACTAATAAGTCAGTCTGTTGATTGGTTGTTTGAGGTTGTAGAATTCCAAAATGTGTCTCTTAATGTGCTATCCTGAAATTCTGCCATAAAAAAGGTTTGGTATACTGTAGGTGCGTTCATCTTAAACTAGGTTTAAAGGGTTACATTGTTACCACTGTATTGAAACTGGTTTTGTCTTTTTTTTATTTTATATTGTAATGCAGGTTTGATTTTATGTTTTTATATTTTGAGGATTAGGGAACTTGGGAGGGAACAGCCCCTAAATCTTCTTCATATGGCACCCGACTGCAAGTTAAACAGACCGTCTCTCGTGGAATTAGGTGGTTGTTACTGCCAGTGTTGGGGGTAACGTGTTACAGTAATCAGATTACATTTGTCTCTAATTCAGTAGTGTAACGCGTTACTGTTGGTCTTGGTTACAGGACAAAATTATCTTGTTACTTGCGTTACTTTAAGGTCTTCTACTATCTGCATAACTGGAGGACAGAACATTTAATAAAACGGCCTGTTTCACTAGTGCTACACACGCAAGTTCATGGATGAGGAAACAAGGCAGAAATTACAGAGTTGCATAGCAGAGATAAACAGGCATGTCTCAGCAAATATCGTTGAGGAAATGTTGCCCGTTTCAACGGTGGAACTGCAATATTTCTGAAACATATTGAGCAAGATACAGGTAACGGGGCTGCCGCCATCATACAGGAAAACACAGCTGAATTTCAAACAAAGAGCAGAAAACCGAGGTCTTGTGTACAGTATTGTCCTTATTAGATTAAGGATGTGTGCTTATCTGGGCATCTGATGTTACAGAGGGATCCAAAAGTAATGTAACTTGTAGTGTAACTAATTACTTTCAGCAGTGAGTAACTAAGTAAGGCATTACTTTTTTTTTTAAAGTAACATCTAATGTGTAATGCATCACTTTTTTTGAGCAACTACCCCAACACTGGTTACTGCACAATACTGAGTTTAGTTTTAGTTTTTTTTATTCTTGTTGTCTTTGCTTCGACCTGTTTTGTTGATATTTCTCACATTACATTCCATCTCCCCCCAGGTTCCAGGAGATGTGTTATAAAGCCTACCTGGCCATCCGGCAGCATGCGAACCTGTTCATCAACCTGTTCTCCATGATGCTGGGCTCCGGCATGCCTGAGCTGCAGTCATTTGATGACATTGCCTACATCAGGAAGACGCTGGCCTTGGAGAAAAGTGAACAGGTAATAAGACTTTTCCCCTGAACTCATATCCACTCCGATCTGATATTGTTATTGTCGTGTATCTCACATTAAAATGTCATCATCTTCTTTATTTGATTCTGCTTTGTGCAGGAGGCGTTGGACTACTTTATGAAACAGATGAACGATGCTCACCATGGAGGGTGGACCACCAAGATGGACTGGATATTCCACACAATCAGACAGCATGCACTGAACTGATCTCCTGCACACAAACAACACAACACCAGTCCCGCCATGAAGTAACACCTCAGTGATGAAGGAAGTTTACACCCATACCATTTCTGTTCATCTAAACAAGGTTCCGGTTTTTCTTTGGCCATAATCATATGCTTTCTTCTCAACAATCGGTTCTACAAGAGATTGTTGTCTCCATGTCCTTGTGAAGATATTCCCTTCCTGGCCAATGCATCCACAAACAGGAACAAACTGGGAAACAAAGAAAATGTTACCTCTCACCCTGCTGCTCTTGTTGGGAAAACACAAATTGGACAAAACAGCTTAAAGAAAATCGTCCAATCGTATGAAGCCACAAAGTAAATCCAACTTGCTGCCGTTCTACTGTGTTAGCTCTGCACTGTGGCTCCATCCCAGAAAGAGATGCTTGTATCTCTGCTGAGAAGATAGCGTGCACAAAAGAACATATCAAACCTAGTATTTGTTACGCAAATATGTTGCACATCGCAAGATTAAAGAAGTATGACGTAAGTATGACTTACCACTGTTCCCTCCTGAGCTGATTTGGTGTCAGCTTCGCCACCTTTAACCCTCTGTGAAAAGAACTGCATAAGAGCCTGTCGGTTGTTTTGCACAGCTCTAAAGTCTCCCTCGGCCTCAAAGAAAAAGCACTCCACCCTTGGGAACATTTGTTGGTGGCGCTGCTTTAGACTCATAAACTTCAGGGTGATGATGCCTCTCCATCAAAAAACAGCACTTAAAAAGTAGTAGAATACTATACAGGTTTATTATGACTTTTTTTTATTTATTTATGTATCTAGTTTATCCTTTTTTTACACATGCAACACTCAACTCTCCAGAAACACACTTGTTTGTTTCAATATATATTTGGAGTTTTTTTGTATTTGTGCTTCCTTTATCTGACTACCATGAGTTCTGCAAATGACGACTACTAATGCCCTTTTCGCCTCCTGCAATTCTAAGTTAAACATCAGTTTGTTAGTGACGCTAGTTTGCAGCTTGGAATTTGTGATAATGAATTTGTTTGGGGATGCACATTTGGTAATGAAGGAAAGTGCCAGTCTCACGCTTTGAATAATGTGATCTATTTAAAGCCTCTGGCTGTCTATTTTGTTGGCGAGCAGAAGCCCAGGGGAATGTCACGTCTTCCTGATGATAAAATGCCTTGGCGTCACAGAACCTGATTCACATTGCTAAGCCCGACAGCCTACATATTTGTAGTAAACAAACCATGACCGCACTATTTACATGAAAAGCTAGATTTTAGGTTTTAGTAACATGAAAACCAATATCTTTTTATTATTTCTAACTATGCGATATTTATCGTTTCATCTCTTTAAATGTCAACTGATGGACATAGTTCGTCATACACATTTCGTTTATATGTTTATCCATTTTTATTTGAATAACATCTTTCACTGAGCATGTAATAAACCTGCCAGTATTTGAGCAATGCTCTCTAAATCCTGGCTCTTTATTTTCCAAACTTTTTACATATCCTCCCCAACGGAAACATATGAGCGTGTAGGTTTTTCAACATGTTTAAGTCAAAACAAAATAGCCTTTACAAATTCCATTGGATCGCTCAATAGTAAGCAGATAGAGTGATATATAGCTGTAGAGGAAGCATAGTCTCTGCCCACACCTCCTTCAGCTGTGGTGTCTATAGGCAGAGGATGAGGGGAAATGTATGAATTAGACGTTAGCGCCATTCTTTGGACATGTTAACATAGTTTTATCAACTGATATCAACATACTTTTTTATCTGGTAGCTCGATTAAGCCACTCTTAAGTTCTATAGTGATCGTCACAATCACATTTAATTGAAAGACAGGGATTTTGACTTTGTTCCATTGAGCAAAGTCACCTTGTCTTTTGAGATTGGTATTAGCTATAAAATGTGTTTTTATAAACAGAAAACCCTGATTGACTGTAAGCTTAGCCAGTTGAGAACGTGTCAAATGATGAGCTTTGTTGAGGAGAGAATGTATTATTTAACAAAAGTAGCTCAGAGCAGCATCATGAGCCCCTGACACCTCTACTGTGTACCTAGAAAGATATTTGGATGTGCTCATGGCTAGATTATCATCTTCTGTTTGAAAGTAGATCTGCCAGTGAAAAAGGAAGTATGCACTTTTCCCAACTGTTGATTGTATGGAAAAGCCTAAATGGTGGTCTGTTCTGGTATGGCACACCTGTGTGTTGTCATATTACTGCAACATTAGTGGCTAGAATGTATTGAGCTGTAAAATATGTGCACTCTTTTTCTGGTTTTTGCGTCATTTATGGTTTCTCTCTAAAGTGTCAAATGCAGTGCCACTAAACATACAAGAGGTGATCGGCAGAGAGCTCTTCTCTTCTTTCTCTCAATGTGCCAAACACAGGTTCACTGAGGCCTGTGGAAGATAATGCTGAAATTAAGTAGGCATATCAGTTTATCTTAAAATAAAAAAGAAGAGGTTGGTGTATGCACCTTAAAATAGCCTTTTTGTCCAGAAGAACGTTAGCCTAGTGTGCATGTCAGGATAACCAGTTTGTACACTTTGAAGCAGCATTAGCCGTATGTATGTAGAGTTGCAGTCAGACTGCTTTTTTTTCTATCCTGAGCTCATATATGACAACCTGCAGTGTTACTATCATTATTATCTCTTCCCATGTATATGTTTGTGTGAACTCATTTCTCTCTGTACAGGATGCAGAGCTTCATTGGCAGGCCCCAATGAAAACCCACACTGTGTGTATGTAGCTTACATGTGTGAGATGACACTAAACACTTTTTAATTGTTTGTTAGGAAACATAAGTGAGAGGGAACTTTTCATACGGTTGTAAATGTTTTACTTGAGATATTGCATATCAGAACCGCAGCTGTATTTTGTTTTTGTTTTTAAGTTGAGACTGGTTGTTGTGCATTGTCTATTTATTACTGATTGTGAGAGCTTGTGTGTGTGTGTGTGTGTGTGTGTGTGTGTGTGTGTGTGTGTGTGTGTGTGTGTGTGTGTGTGTGTGTGTGTGTGTGTGTGTGTGTGTGTGTGTGTGTTCATGTGGTAAAGCAGGGCTGTTTGTTTAATAATGTGGTTATTGATGCCACAGTTATACATGAGTGAAGAAACAAGTATTTCTTGAAGTGATGAATGTTGTTCTAGAGCCAAATTCCAGGTGCAAAGTATTACAAATATATATTTATTGTTCTTTCATTATCCTGAGACTCAAACTCATGAAAATTAGGTCCAAGTGATAGCTCTCACAGACAGCATGATTATGTGTCTAAAGTTCTGCTTGTCCTCAACTTATGCACTGAATTTGTACAGGGTATCTGCAATAGTATTGCACTTGTTTTTCCACCTGTGAAGGCTGTGGTGGCTTCCATGCTTTATCCCTTTTGACTTTAAAGCAACATTAAAAAAAAAAAGGTGTAATTGTATGAATCAACAATCTACATAATGATACATTATCATTTACCTGCTGTTTTCTCAGAATGTGGAGTTATTGAATCTCTTTGAACCCGCTTGTGTGCTGAGAAATACTGTGAGATTTCGTGAGGTTAAACAGAGAGGGGAGGGAGGTCCTGTTTCCATTCATCTTCAGTTTGCCCCTGCTAATACAATCACAAGATGTTAGCTATGATTTTAAGACAACCAGTGGACATAATAACAAACACACAGGAAATAAGAATGCAATTTAATGCAATATCCATGCAGTGTTTACTGCTCTGTGAAAACCTATTGTTTTTTATGATATTCAAATGTGTTTCTGTTACGATCTGTAAACATAATCAACAGGTGTTAGTTTGTCCACCACCTGTAGGAACTCTATTGTTTCTGTAAAGCAGTTCAAAAGCCACTGTTACTGCTTTTGTTTTTAATACAAATTGCATTGCTAGGAAGCCTTTGAATAGGCTTTGAACAGAATGAATGTCAAGGGTTTTAAACTATTGTACTTCCAAGAGCAAGTATGACTAATCAATAAGATTATTGATCATTAGTGATCATTTAGCTTTTGAAGTATCCTAAATGTTAAAGGGAAATATCGACTAAATGGTCAGTAGCTTAATGTTCAGTTCTGTATGCAGTGCTCTAAACTACACTAGTGTGTCGAATATTTCCTCAACATGCCGTGCTGTCAGAACCTTAACCTATACTATGAATGAATGTACATCGAGCCATGTTTCCCACAGCCTGTACCTGCATGAGCTTGGGTAAAGAGGAATATTCTTTTTCATTGTTTTAGTTTTCATATTCAGCCTGCTAAGCAGCCATACAAATGTTTAGAAATGAATGCCTTACGTTTATAGGAACATTTTCATCGTCACAATAACCTGCATTTATTAAAAGAAATGTATTTCATTTAGGCTCGCAGGGTAAAGATTTGTACCCTGACCGACTGACTGGTCATCTGAGTGTTTGTGAAGATGTACAAATAAATGTGTTAAACATTCACCCCGCTTCTGTTTGCTCGTACTTTCCCCTCCTGCAGTTTCACTCTACAGCAAGCCTTCACAAAGCCTTACTGGATTGAATAAAGCAATGAATTATATCGTCAATATGTTCAAATGTAATGACTTTATTTATTTTATTCATTTCCAGGGCTTGAAAAGAAGATTTCCGGGTATCCAAAGGACTTCATCCGGATGTTGACAATGTTAAAAGACCAGTAAGATCATTTAGGCTGATAAAATGATAATAGGAAGTCAAAGGGATACCGTGTAAGTCAGTGAGTGCAGGACCATTTTACAGAAAGAAACACATAATCGATTAGCTGCATTTATATTCACATTTAACCACAGCACAAAGAACAACGTCTTATTTTCGTGCATATCTTTCCCTTTGAAGAAAAGACACATGCTATTTTCTCACATCTCTAATAAAACCGACAAATTGGGCACTTTGATTTACTCAAAGGAAACTGAACCTGATTATCTTAACAGTTTAGAGCTCTTTCATCACTTCAGTAATTTTCTCCAGTGCTTTCAAAGAAGCAACAGGTCCCAAAAACAAGTTGCTTTCACCTGAGCTGGTTATTTTATCAACCTTTTGCATCTTAAATTTGAAATTAATCAAAGGTGTTTCTTTAAAGAAAAATGTGCTACAACCCAGAAAATAAAGCACTAGTCTAAATAAACAAAAATCTGTGTTTGGAGGGAGTAAAAAGTGAGATCATTTTGAATACAAATGTGTTTCCCTTGAGGATGAATTCATCCCAGCAGGTCTGTATCGCTGAAGCCCCCCTCTGCTGGGGGCTGGGGGCTGGCCTCCTCTGCCAGGCCAGGTGCTGTGGGGGGGATGGGGTTGAAAGGTTTCCAGGGGTTGGACGGGCAGTGGAAGGGGCTGTCGTTCCCAGCTTCTGCACCCATGTCCGGGGAGGAGGGGGATTTGGATGCAGTGGTGTCTTCCTCAGAAGACTCTTCTTTGGCCGAAGCCTTGGCGGTGGGGGGTGGGCTGGTTGTGGTTGGAGGCGAGGTGGTGAAGGGGACTTCGAACAGGATGTTCCTGAGAGGAGACCAGCCCGGGGGACGACGCCTGGTAAATATCTGGAGAAGGAATACAGTAAGACACTTAGCAACTGGACGGTTTTACATTTTAGAATGAAAGTATTGTGATTGAATTAAAATGGGAAAGATGAAAAAGTATGGGCATCCTATTTTACAAAGTCTATCCTTTTTATCTTGAAGGTTTATAGTATGTAACTGTGATAGATCTTATTTGGCATATTGCATGTTGTCTTTTATTTACAGCATACAAACTCGAATGTCTAAATTTCATTTTCAAGATATATCACTATCTAGTATTTGAGCAGATAGTGAGAGCTGACAGGTAAAACTTATTTTATATAGTACTTTTACTTTCAATTAAAAATAGAGCTGTTTATCATAGATTCAATTAAGTCGATGTGCTCTTTATTCAATTTCTAAAACAGGCTAAATGTTTGAGCATCTTGTGGAAGTGGGTCTCACCATGCGCAGCATCCCTTGTTCACACTGTATATTGGCCTGTGGGACCTCAAACCTCCATGGTGCTACGTCCACTGTAGAGTTACAGTTGGCAAACTCCTACACACAAACAGAGAGAGAGAGAGACACATCAGTCTAATAAACGTGGAGCATTGGATGGGTAACATAGGGGTCATGGGGTAGAGACACAAAACAACCACTAAGACGAAAAAGAAAATAATAAAGAACGCAACATCACACAAAGCCAAATAAAGCCACCATCAAGAAACACATCAACAACAAAAGGACACACAATGACCCAAAGACACACAGAATGACCACAACGAGACACAGATCGACCACTTTCAGAACCAAAACAAACAGAATACAGCAACAAGGAGACTCGTAACAGCGACAGAAAGACACAAAACAACTAAAAAGACACAAAATACAACCACATATAACAACAACAAAGAAACAAAGACTATGTCAGTGCTTACCACATTCTCATTATCAGGGACACACAGCTCGTTGAGGTCTTTGTGTTCACTCTTGGGACAGGTGGTCCTCCTCATATCAAAACGCAGCTTGAACCTGAATCCTGCGACGACCTACAGGGAAACAGATACAGATGCAGACAGTAAAGAAAAACCTTCTTCTCCTCTTCATCTTCACCTCTCTCCTCATATCAACCCGTTTCTACCTGTCTGGTGGAGGAGCCCACAGAGTGCAGGGTGAACAGGTGAGTAGAGTCCGATATGGAGTTATACTTGGAGATGGAGACAGAGAGAGGAACCCTGAGATCCTCTGAGTTCTCATCGATCTTTGTCGGGCATCCCAAACAGACTGATTTCACTGGGACGACGTAATCATCTGGAGAGGAGAAAGATGGTGGAGAGAAATAAAGAATGAGAAGACAGCAGATTGACTGGGCTAATCATGCTGTTAATTCTAACCACAAAACCTAATTTCTGTAAGACCAGATCCAACTGAAGCAATCTACAAAACAATACAAGTTTTATTTTTCCAAGCTGTGCCTTTAAAAGTTGCAAAACATTTTGTTGGCTGGATAGAAAAACAACTATTTACTGGATGCTTTCAGTGGGCTGGTTGGGCAAAGATTAAAGTCTAGACTATCACAAGTTAATATTGCTCTCTCTCTCTGTATCTGAACATTATATTTCACAATCAGCTTCTCTGTGTATGCCGTGCGCCCACGAGGTTACACTTTCCTCAATGAATCACTGTTTTCTTAATGAGAAATACACTCCACTAATAAACAGAGTCATAGGGAACGTTATCAGCACACCAGATGTTCCTCTTTCCATACACGATATACGTTAAGAATATGTAGGTACCTGAAATGTGTTCCTAAGTAAAGTACTTGAGTAAATGTATGTAAATATGAAGCGTCACATGAAAACAAATTAAAGTATTGATCAACTGGGCCTGCATGTAATATCATATGTCTAAGTTAAAAAATATACTTTCGATCATTTTGAAAGACATTTCTCTATAAAATTTAGTTCAGGTTTCTGCCAAAAAAAGTTATTTTGGATGTATTTATTTATTTATTACTATCCTGTTTATGTCTCTGTTTTACTAGCTTTGAAGGGTCGCTTCAGTTCTTGAATCTTGAATCTCAAATGTTCAATATTTTTTTCACACTGCAGGAAACACGAGACGAAAAGGCTTTATCTTTTATCTCCAGACTTTAATTACTTTAGATATTTTTTTAAAGTATAGTTCTAGGTTTGGTTGGTGATGGTGGATTAGATAGAACTAACCCTCTCCATCTTTTCTTATTTCTTTGTGAAAAAAGCTGGATATTCTTGTGTCATAACTGATAAAACAATAATATGACACTTTGTTATTTTCACTCACCGAGCAGGCAATCCACCTGTCGAGTGTCTGCCTCTGTCTCTGTCATGTAGACAGTGGCATTGCATGAAATTGGTTTCTGAAAAGAAAAACAGCTTGGATGATTTAATTTGTTTTAATCAAAGATTTGGTTAAAAAGAACACAATGGTGCTCTAGGAGGAGATTCAGGTGATAAGGTGGGGGGGTTACCTTGGTTGGTTATTGGCTAATGGTTACACAAGCCAAAACATCGTTATGACATCATAAAGTGGCCACAATCTGATCAGCTAATTTTCAGACAGGTTTTTATATAAATGGATCAGGACAAAAAGAGAGAGAATCCTTTTTCCTGAAACTTTCAGAATATCTTTACACGGAGGGGACACCGAGGGGTTTATGTATAAAAGACATGAAAAAGTGGATTTTGCATAATAGGTGACCTTTAACTCTGAATGTATTTCCTGTGTAAACTAAATACGCTGGAAAGACATTGGGCACTGTTTGTAGATTTTTACTGTGTGTCACTGCTAACAAAACCATGGATGTCTGCAGCTGTTTTGCTCTCTCATTATTACCTCTCTTCCGTTGGGCAGATAGTCGCAGACAGTCCAGGGTTTGTTGCTGCCAGCTAGACAGTCGCTCCTCCTGGTGGTGAACTGCAGTGAGTACACTGAGTCCGAGCCATTCTCTGACTGGAGACACACACACACACACACACACACACACACACACACACACACACACACACACACACACACACACACACACACACACACACACACACACACACACACACACACACACACACACACACACACACGCACACACACACGCACACGCACATGTTCAGTGTACCAGAGGTCATAGTGTGTAAACATGTTTTCTTTACATTTCTTATCATCCCACAGCTTTAGTTCCTGTTGTTTCACCACCGTCCAGTTTCATCTCTAATATGATACTTTAAAAAAAAATTCAGGAGGCCACAATCACCACATGTATGAATTATTATTATTGTTAAAGGTGGGGTAGGTAATTTTGGAGAAACCAGCTCGAGTGCGCTAGAATTTGAAAATACACAGCCGGAGAAAATCTGCCACTTCCTTACAGAGCCCCTCCTCCAACACACACGAACGTGACCAATGAGCAATGAGGGCACGAGATAAGTGTGTGCACAGATGGAAGGCTGACAGGCAGGTAGGCCATCCAGTTATTCTAGCCGGGCCGGCTAAAATGATTGGTCGTGCTTTTTACAGTATTACGGCTTCCACAGATGACATTTTTTTATGGATTTTTTGTCAAAGCACTTAAGATATTCATTGCTATCGGGATGTTAAGAGCATTCCATGGAATATAACAAAAAGTGTATCTCGAGCCGGTTTCTCAAACTTACCTACCCCACCTTTAATACTATTATTATTATATTTTATAATAAGTGAAACAGTTAAAACCTCAATAAAGCTCATGAAATAATTGCATTGTCCTAGTTATTGCCAATGTCTGTATTATATTCTTTAGCAGTATTATGGTGTCGAGCAGATTCAAAATGTTTAGTTTTGCACATTTCACCCTTTTGTTTTTTAATTGTAGTGACTATATTAATCACCCTTCATTTTTAGTATGTCTAAAAAGTCCCTCTTACAAGAAATATGTCACCTTGGCAACATGTTGCTTTTGTTAGTGTCTTAGAAGTTGGGGACTTTGAGCATTAACAACAATATTTATATTTCTAAAGTTACAAAACTGCCTTTCATGTGTGACTGATGTTATATCTTAATATATCATTTAAGTGTGTTATCTAATATAATTTATTTAACTTATTTATATTATGAACTTTTTCTTTGTTTCTAATACTTGAATGTAGGAATATAGTTGTAACATAGTCTTTTT